ATCAGTTGCCAGCACTCTGAATACAGACTTAATTTCTGCACACAACTGACATCAGGCAGTCCAGACCATAAGTCAGCTGTTCGAGGATTGCAACTAGCTCTCTGCATAAAAGTGAATATATCTCTGTATGTGCAGTCTTTCAAGCAGAAATGCTGCACATACGGATTCCTACCAACACGATCACTTCTAAAAGCAGAAGTGGGCGTGATGGTTGAAATAACCCTTTAAGATAGGGCTGGGCTAACAGTAAATCCCCAGATGTCATAAAACTGCAACTCCCATGAAGCTTTGTCTTTCTAAAGGCTGGAAAGACTTCATAGCAGTTAAAGTAATAGAACATCTTGGGATCCTGCTTTAAAGAGAAACGATGGTGCCAGGAAAATAAACTTGTTTCCCTGGCACGATAGCTTTCCCCTCCTTTGCGGTGTAGTGGTCTGGTTGCCTACAGTGTCCTTTTAAAGTATTGGTTATGGTGTTAGGAATCTATATGTACAATTTCAGTGGTGTTTGTCAAACCATTTTCACATGGTTACTTACTTTCCTGTTCCCAATCAAATGTCTTTACCAGCTTCATTTGGCATTGCTGAATGTTAAGTAATATGGTTAATACATTCCCATAAAATATAAATTAAAATTTTACATAGATGTATAATTTCATTCTTTCTTTGCTTGATTATAAAACATATACAAACTAAAAAATCACGGAACGTTTTAAGAATCTATCATTTCAATATTTCTTGGATTCAAATTAAAATACTTTTACAATTACCAACGCAAAATAATTTTCTTTCATATTTCAGCCCAAACAAAAGAGGTCCTCCATCATATAATGACCACATAACTAAGAGAATAGCTCCGAGTCCTGTGCCAGGGGAGGTCCAGGGTCTTGTGCGAGAACCAAGCACACCACATCGTTACCGTGAAGGTAGAACAGAGCTACGAAGGGACAAATCTCCTGGGCGACCACTTGAAAGGGAGAAGTCTCCAGGCAGGTTACTGAGCACCCGAAGAGAGAGATCACCTGGAAGGTTATTCGAAGAGAGCAATAGGGGTCGCTTGCCTGCCGGAGCTGTGAGAACACCTCTGTCACAAGTCAACAAGGTATAATGTAAATGTAAACATCAATCCGTGTTCTTCAAAACATTTTAGGACATTCCTGACACATTCTGCCATAACAAAAATGCCTGTTCAACACAAAGTCCAAAAGGTTCCATGATTAGAAACAAATCCCAACCATGTCACATGCTTCAGTGCGAGAAAGCACAAAAAAATTGTTTATCCCATTTCTTTCAAGAAAGCAAGAATATTTCTTGCTATATACATACATGGCTTAAAATTTCAAGTCTTACTATAATAGCCAGGGTTTATAAGCTACTCTACATTGTGAGCCTGGACGGTCCATGCTACACTCACAAAGAGTGGATTTCTACAGGGCTAAAAAATAATGGTGTGTGTGTGTGTATATATATTATATTTTGGCTGTTTTAGTTTATTTTATTAAACTTTTGATATTAAAATGGGGCTGTTAAAGTGGATCAGACTCATGGCAGTTTTAATAAATGTAAATTATTTTTCAAAAAGTAGTAGTACCATTTCTCCCAGTAGGCAACTAGTCATAGGCTGAAAGCGTCATCTGAGTGGTCACCCATTGAGAAATACTAGTACCTTTTCTCTCAATGGGCAGCCAGTAACAGGCTGAGAATGTATGCTGTCTTACAGTCTTACAGTCTGTCTAGCTAAATCTTCCTGAGATGCTGTGGTGGCAGAGAGGAAGTAATCCGGGGAAGTAGTTTTGTCACATGCTTAATGACCAACTCCTTCAGGATAAAACCGCGTAAAACGATTTAGCCCCTGGAGGTAAGACTGTGCCCGTACCATCCTGCCACAATAACAACTTTGATGACCGTAAGTTGTTATGGACGTGGTAATAGTCCTTTAAATTAATTTAGTTGAAGTGTTGTCAACATGACATTTGCAAAGGCACAGTTAATTGTAGAGATAAGCAAGTATGAAGTTTAGCTATTTACATTGTTCCAAGTAGTGTTGAAATTAAGGGATGCGCCAGACTGGAGCTGACTCCACTTTAATTATCATGTAGATAAGGCAATTAAAAAAAACTTCACCTTTGAAGTTAACTGCAAATCTATGAGGATTGCAGACTGCAGTACTCTTTCACCAAATTAGGAAGTGGATGATACACTTAGTCAGTCAACAATGTTGTAGACATAAAATAGAATTTAACTTTGAATTCCCAACAAGTCACACTCTAGTATATAACCCCGCCATCTAGGCTCTACAGGTAGTTATTACCAGTTTACCTACACATACACCACTGGCTGCATCACCATTGTGAGGCTGCTGCTGCAATAGATGTCAGGAAGTACATGTTACATACCATTTCATTTTCTTTAGACTTTGCAATTATTTATTCCCAATGCTGTTTTTTTTTGTTTTTTTTTTTTGGAATAAGCATTTATTTTTAGGGCTTGGTTAGTAACTACACTAAAAAAAAAAGTATGGCTGGGTGGGGAGGTCTTATGCTTTTTTGAGGCAACAAGTGAAATAAAACTGTTTCACTCTTCCTTGTTACAATAATTATATATAACAAACTACTATTTTTTTTAACGGGTTGTTTTTTTCCCCTCCCTTAAGGTTTGGGACCAATCTTCAGTATAATGTGACCAGACAAGCACCGTCTGCAAAGAACTAAGAAGAAATGACGCAATGTCTCATTTATACATGCAGATGCTTTTATATCCAGAAGACTGTCTGTAGCAGACCAGTTACAAAGACTGTTTTAAATTGTGTATGTGAAGCAGTGTACCAAGATCTCAAACAGCTTAATTCTTGCATCTGACTTCAAATATCATTCCCGTTTTCTTTCTTTCTAATCACATGCTGATTTGTGTCATTTTTTTAAAAACTTTATATGAAGATATTTCCTTAAAAGTATTATTTTCTGTCAAATCATTAGGTCAACTAGACCTCTTCAGCAGTGGTTCTCATACTTGTCTACAACAAGACGGGATTTTGGGGTGACCAGATTTTAGGGTTTCATGGTATCATAGGCTGTTTTAACTCCTTGAAAATAGTCTTCAGAACCACTGCTCCATAGGAAAAGTAACCAAATCACAGAGTGTGGCTATATTGAATAATGAAGAATTTACTATACAATTTTATATCAAAGCGAAGTAGAGTCAGTTTAAGTAACCTGTCGTTTTTAGGAGTATCACTGAGGCTTACAAGCCTTTTAGTCCAACAGTAGCAGGCTTGAATGGTCTTCAAGCCGTATTTCCTTATAGTGAACACTAACCATTTTACATTACACCATGTGATTTAATATCAGTCTTACCACTGATCAAGAAGCCATTGATTTTCACACTAACACAGAATATTTAAACACATTATAAATATTTTTAGTTATTTGAAATGTTAATATACAAACTCACAGTAGCGACTTCATTTCTGCACACAGGATTCCTCTCCATTCTGCTGATTTACTTCCTGTTGCTTCTGCTACCTCACTTGATATTAAGATTTTGCTTTATAAACCATCCCGTTAATGTGCCAGGGGTAATATGTACGAAAAAGGTGCTAAAATATTTTATAGGTGTTAAAATGAACAAGATCTTATATTGGATTCTCATTTTTCAATTTCTAATTGAGAAAGTTTGTAATCCCTGCATTCTGATAAAATGTGTATAATAGGAAAAGCTGGACCTTTTAAATATGTATATATATATTTCTGTTGCATGAAAGGTTTTCATCCCCAAACAGGAGCCTCAGAACATCCTTTATCAGAGTGGTTATATCTGTCTATTTCATTTGGGTTAATGCTAAATTAACATGCTCTATCAAATCTCTAGGTGATGTATGTTGGTTAACTGTCCCTATAAATGCTTCCTTACCTAAATATGAGGATTGTACATATTTACCAGAAAGTTTATATTCATAAAATTGAATATGTTTCTACTTTTTTAAGGTAAACTGTGCATTTTTGCCCTTTTTGTGAAATGAGTGCTGACTCGGGCAAGGTGACGAATTCAGCTCCTAGATAACAGGCTACAGTGGGAGTATTTCTAAGGCAGACTGCAGGGGAAATACTCGTAAAAATCTTGCAGTATTGGTACTTTTGCAAGCTGACTATACTTTAAGTACTTCTAGACGGCAGTCTGAAATAGAGGTACTCTTTGCTAGCAGTCAGAAGTATGATTACTGGAGGTGCCTGTGAGTTTGGAATGCTTGATTTCTATTATGCTTTGCCGCTTTTTGCTAATATTGTAGAAAAAAAATAAATAAATGCACTTTAAAATGACCTATTTATTGACATGAACGAAACTATTGCGGGGGCAGGAGGTTTTTTAGACTTGGAATAAAGAGTCCAATGTGTTGGTCCTTCTGTTTGGCATACAAGCAGTAGTATTGGGTTATGAAATTAAGGAGTTGCTTGTGATCTCATTTATGTCCTTAAAGGAACACTATAGGGTCAGAAATACAAACATGTATTTCTGACCCTGTAGTGTTAAAACCACCATCTAATCCCCTTTGGCCTCCCTAAATATAGTAAAATCTTTCTTGTATTCAAGTCTGCAGTTGCTCCTGCCTCTGTCTGGCCTGCATGCCTGACACCCAAAAGGCACAATAAGGTTCCTTTAAATAATCAAAAGACCTAATAAAAAAATCAGTTTATTGAATACAATTATAAATACAGTGACTATGCAAAAGAAAATAGAACCAATGTAAAAAGCCAATAAGGCTTTGTGGATAATGAGGAAGGGTAAGCAGGGGATCACTTAAGTGAATTAATGTAGATATTCAATGAGCAAAAACTGGAAGAAAGGCTCTATGGTGCCTTTAAGTGAAAACCAAAAACGGAATCAGAATGACTTAAAGGACCACTATAGGCACCCAAACCACTTCTGCTCAATAAAGTGGTCTGAGTGCCAGGCGCTGCTAGTTTTAACCCTGCAGCTGAAAACATGGCAGTTTCAGAGTCCAGCGTCAAATAAGATCCCCATAGGAAAGCATTGAGTAATGCTTTCCCATGGGCGTGTTTGAATGCGTGCGCGCCTCTGTCCGTGCATGCGTGTTCGGCTCCAATCAGGAGCTGATATCGGCGGGGCAGGAGAGGTCACCAGCGCTGATAGAGCCCAGCGCTGGATTAAGGTAAGTGGCTGAAGGACGACACACCTATTAACCCTATAGTGCCAGGAAAAAGGGGTTGTTTTCCTGGCACTATAGTATCCTTTTAAATCCTTGCTGGAAGAAAAATAAAAAGCAGGCTGTTTTCAGACCATTACAGCATTTAAAAAGAACTTGAAACAAAGTGGCTAGATACACACCCTGAATCAGAATGGATGAAATCCTTGCTGGAAAAAACAGGCTGTTCACTTTTTATACCGATACAGCATTTAAATAATCAGTCCACTTGAAACAAAGTGGCTAGATACACACCCTGCTAGTGAATGTCTGATATATCATAGAGCCCTTGCTATAACAATAAAGAATGAACCTCTATCTTGTAGCAAATATGTAATGACAAATCTATGTACAAATTGGAAACAAACAACACCTGTGTGATTACTACCACTGCCTATATATGGCTTGCTGTCACTGACCATAAACTGTCTATACATTAGTACTGACTGCCTAAAGATTGCTAAATAATAATACTGATCCTACAGGTTGTCCTAGTCCGTTCGTAAGCCTCCTATATACTGCAATCTTCTACCCCTACGGTACCAAATCCCCCCCACCCCCCCATACACCCAACTCCCTTATAATCTAACGTGCATAATAGTTGATAGTGCAAAGTGGCAAAAAAGGAATAGCCCAATGCACGTTTCGGCGCTGCTAATGCGCCTTCGTCTGGGGCACTGAAATTAATTACTGTGCTATGGAACTTATATATGGTAGAGTTCAGGTGCCACCTGACTCCCTTGGCCAATCAAGGTCTCTGGTGGGAGGAGACTGAGAATATTGCACCTCCCATCTGACAAGGTGGTTAATTCGGGATTATTCTAACCTTAGTGACCGAATAATCTAAAAAAAAAATGTATTTAGTAATTTTGTTGTGCATGCTGGGTGTAGCTCCTGGTGCCCCAATAGCAGTCCTCGAGCGTATTATCATAGCTAACAATAGGAGCATTAGATACATTTTTCAGATATATTTAAGTTCACAGAAGCATGTACATCATGGTGCTAAGTGTTTACAGGCTGTATAAGCATGGGCATAGGGTCTCTTAGGAGTCGTTTGGGCTTAATGGTTGGGCCAAAAGCTAAGTGCGGGGAACTATGCGGGAACAGTCAACTATTGCTCCCCAAGACAGGCCTGGGATGAAGTGTGACAGGTGTGGGGGTGTCTGTCAGAGCCTATGTGCGCTTGTGCCAGGTATATGTTGTGGCGCATGTCTGTCAGGTGCTGTCTCGTGACGGTTGGAGTGCAGGATTGTCAGGTAGGTTAGATCATGTGTGGAGCCGTGTGTACTGGCTGTTATGTCAATGTTTGCTGGGGTAGTCCAATGCTACAGGTTTGAGGTGCAAAGTCCAGAATTAGCCAATGACCCGGCTTGGGGGGCAGCAAAAGATCGGGAGGCAGAGTTCAACTAAGTCCTCCCCAAAGCCCTGGGCCGTCTTGGAGACCTGCATCTGCAGACCACGAACTCGGGTGCTCTCGGAGGAGGCTGCATTCTTCCCTAACCAGGGGCTGCCATGGATCCAGGTGGAGGGTTGCCATCTGTGGCGTTGGATCCTCCGCGCCGGTGGCCGATGCTCCGGGGATGATCCCCTGCTGGTCTTCAGCCTGAGTGGGTCCATCTTGTAAGGCTGTGTGCTTGTTTCATGGGGAGTGCCCAGGGGGGACCCACTTTTTTCCCACCTGTCATCTCTCCGCTTGCTTTTCACTGCTGGTGCTTTTGGTTGCTTGGGATGGTCAGCTAGCCTGTCACAGAGGCGTTTGCCGGTTAGCTCTGTCGTTTAGGCATACTTGTTTTCTGCGTTGTCTTGTTCTTTGCCTGCACACGTGGCTGTGGAATATCCGCCATCTTGGGGTGAGTCGTCTGGTCAGTACTCTGCGGCATAGTTGGTGCTTGGGGCTGGCGGTATTTAGTTGTAGTCGCCCGTGTGGACTGGAATAACCCCCACCGGTCGGGGGGGGGGGGACAGCAAGATGCTGGTCGGAGAACTCAGGGAGCTCAAGCTCGGGTAGGCCTCGAACAGGTTATGCCATGATATCTCCGCGTGCGACTGCAGCTTTTGAGTAGTTTGGGCACCGATTTGAGTCGGTGGCTGCTGCTGGCATGGAGTTAGCTCCAATATTCTAGCCCAGGCGCTAGAGCTCAGACGAGACACGTCTGATCCGTTCAGCGGTCAGCCTCCGCCCCCATAATCTAAATTTTATTAAAGACAGGAGGCAAATATTTGCTTATCTTTCTTTTACTGAAATTCCCAGCAGCAAAGAAACAGTTAACAGTAAGTAAAAAGTTTAACCAATCAGAATGTATAACAGGGTATGTCTAGTCATCAGGCTCCTCCAAACTCCTCTTTCTTGATGTAGACAACAGTCGTAGAGTCAACCATGTACATGAAAAACAGTTGATCGATGAGTAGATTCTAACGTAGACAACCTCGTAAACCAGTGTTAAGAAGTGAAGATAATTCCTTGCGAAGGTAACGAAGAGTCTTCACACTAGGAAAAAGAGAAAGAAATTGTGAAAGTATGGTCTCTTGGGTAAGAGAATCAAATCATATTAACTAACATTAAGGCCATGTATTTAAAAGCAGTGTGTATCAAGTACTCTGACAAATCAAGGGCTATGAAATAAAGATGAGTACAACTATAAAGGCATTCTGTAATATATAGGGACTCTATAGTCACCAAAATAACTACAGCTTAATGTAGTTATTTTGGTGAGTACAATCATTTCCTTCAGGCATTTTCATGCAGACACTGCCTTTTCAGAAAAAAAAGTGGCCAATCCTCAGATGGCAGCTGGAGGTGCTTCCTGGGTCAGTGCGGAGATGCTGAATTTTCCTCATAGAGATGCATTAATTCAATGCATCTCTATGAGAAGGTGCTGATTGGTCAAAACGGTGTTTGGCCCTGCCCCCTTGCCGATTTTAGCCAATCCAGTGCTCTCTCCATGGGAATCGGCAATTTTGATGATGTCACCAAGTGGGTGGGGCCAGCAAGCCACCTAAATGGTGGGTTTTCCCTATAGGGTCAGGAATACATGTTTGTGTTCCTGACCTTATAGTGATCCTTTAACAGAAAACCCTAGAAGATTACTAAAATTAATTGGTAATGAAATATTGAGGTATGCGAAATACCTACCTAGCAGGGTGGGGAGAGTTTTCCACAGGTGGGAAAATATTTGCCTCCTGTCGTTAATAAAATTTAGATTATTCGGTCATTAAGGTTAGAATAATCCCGAACTTTATGGCAAGACAGGAGGCTTCATACTTGCTGATTTAAAGCGAGGAGAACATGGAAAGAGACACATGAGGTGACTGTCTAAAATAAAATGTGTGGAAGGTAGATTCTCTGGACCAATCCGCAGAGGCTAAAATTTCTGCCAGAGAACCCCCAGCCGTAAATGCAGAAGAGGCGGCCGCTCCTCTAACAGAATGAGCACCCAAAGATGAGTCAATGCCGGCTAGGGCCAGGAGCCACTTGATCCAACGAGCAATCGTGGGACGTGACACTTGCTTGTGAGGACGCACATAAGACACCAGTATGGGTTCCGTTTGTGTTCTAAGGTAAGTAGTGCTAAAGATGTAATGTCGAACGCAACAAGCTACACATAGTGTGGGTTTATCCTGGAAATAAGGATAGCACTCTGTAGACAAATTGGTTTTAGTGTGTCGGGTAATGGAGACGTTAACTCCCTTTGGAGTAAAGTCAACGGCATGAACGTCAAATGCTCTGATGTCCTAAACTCTCCGGAAGGATACCAAACAGAGAAGAAGTGCCAATTTGGCTGACAGTTGTCGGAGAGAGAGTACTTCATTAGAAGGCCAAGTCTCTAAAAAGGATAGCACAATAGCAACATCCTAAAACTGATTATATTTCGGAGCCGGACGTCTTGCGAGGCAGATGCCCTGCAAAAGTCTATATATGAAAGAATGTTTGCCAACTGAGGAGTTGTCAACAGGGTTATACGCTGCAGAAAAAGCAGAACGAAACACATTAATCGACCGATAGGATTTACCCTGAGCGAAAAGGGACGACAGAAAGCTCATGATGTTAATTAAAGAAGCTGAAAAGGGATCGATGTCCCTCTCCAAACACCAGCCACTCCAACTTCGCCATGCTGAAAGGTACGACCGTCTTGATCCTGGGGCCCATGAATCCCATAGGAGTCCTCGAGCAGTAGCCGAAAGGCCAGAGACGTTCCAGGATCCCCTGAAATGTTCCAGGCCACCAATCGGAGGTGGCCTTGCAGTGCCAGTGGATGGAAATTGTCTGGTGGATCCTTGAAGAGATCGTAGGAGGTGGGTAGAAGTAGGGGATATTCCACCAACATTTTCAGGAGATAGGGGAACCATGGTTGGGTTTGCCATAGCTGGGTCACCAGTGTTATCTTGATGCCTTGTGTTTTGAGATATTGTATCGTGCGTGGGATCATGGAGAAAGCGGGGAAGGCATATGCTCCTGACATTGGACATGATTGTAGGAAGGCATCCACTGCCAGGCACGCTGGGTCTGGAAGCCAGCTGAAAAATGTGTCTGTCTGAAGGTCCAGGCGAGACGCAAACAGGTCCAGGATGATTGGTCCTCTCAGGAACTGGAGACGGTGAAATATTTGTGGGTCCAAATGCCAATCCCTGGAGTCCCTCCAATGACGGGAAAACCAATCTGCGATGAGGTTGTCTGAGCCAGGTAGATATTCTGCACAAAGGGAGATGTTCCTGTCCAGGCAGAATTGGTACAGTTCTTTCTTCAGATCCGGTAGCTTTTTTGATCGGGAGCCACCTAGGTGGTTTATGTACTGTACTGCTGACACATTGTCCATTCTCAGGATAAGGCAGCAATTGTAGGCGTCCTTGGCAAAACTGCGGATTGCGAAGGAACCAGCAATTAGTTTGGGGCAATTAATGTGTTGTGCTTGTTCTGATGGTGACCAGAGGCCTCCGGTAGACTACTCCGAGCAAGTGGCACCCATCCGAGGAGGCTGGCATCCGAAATCCAGAAAGAAATCTGGTTGTAAATCGAAGATAGCCCTTCCATTTCAGGCTTCCATATGTTGAAGGCACCAGCTGAGTTCCAGTCGGACTTCGTCTGTGAGAAAAATCTGTTGGTCGTAAGATGTTGAGTGATGTAAGAAACGTGTCTTCAAATGTTGCATTGCTCGAAAATGTAGTGGGCCTGGGAATATTGCCTGGATTTAGGTGGAGAGTAATCCGATTATGCGGGCTATATCCCGGAGGCGGAGACATGGTGAGACTAACAATCCACGGCTGTCCTTTTTGATGGTTTTGATTTTTGTAGCAAGAAGTTGCAGAACTGCCTGAACAAAATCTATCTGAAATCCTAGAAACTGTACCGTCTGAGACGGGGTTAGAGATGATTTTTGGAGGTTTATTATGAAACCCCAAAGTCATGTTTGTATGCAGACGTAGAATCTCTTCATCGTGAGCCATAAGGAGGATATCATCAAGGTATATGATGGATCGAATCTCTTGCGAACGTAGTAGTGCCATCACCGGTTTCATTAGTTTTGTGAAGGACCAAGGTGTGGAACATAGTCCGAAGGGGATACAGGTGAACTGCCACAGTTGTTGACGCCAACTGAATTAAAGGAAGGTGCGATGCTTCAGTGTTACTGGTACCGTGAGGTATGCATCCTTGAGGTTGAAATGGGAGAACCAATCTCCCTCGCAGAGAAGGACTCGTAATAGATGGATGCCTTCCATCTTGAAATGTCTGTATTTGATGAAATTGTTCAAGTCTCTTAAATTGATGACTGATCGGAATTCTCCTGACTTTTTCCTGACTAGAAACATGTTGCTCACTAAACCTCGTGGGGTGAGGGATCGTTCGATAGCACCTTTGGTGACTAGTTCATTAAGTTTGACTTCTAGGGTCGTGTCGTCTATTTGTGACATCCTGAATGGAGTAGGTGAGGAAATTTGAACTGGATCGTCTGTATATTCCAGGTGGAAACTCACTCACAAGATATAAATGCATAATGCGCTCAAGGGTGCCTCCCCCAATGTAAGTGGGGGGTTGAAAATCTCCCTCTGCTGCCTGCAGAATCACAGGAAATCAGGACTCCGGATGGTAGTATAAAATAGCGGCTTTATTATAACTCCAATAAAATGATAAAACAGCAGTAGTTGTGGTCTTACGCGTTTCGTAATTTGTAATTGCTTTGATTCTGTGGGCAGCAGAGGGAGATTTTCAACCCCCCAATTACATGGGGGGAGGCACCCTTGAGCGCATTATACATCTATATCTTGTGAGTGCACCTTTATATAGCACATATTACCTGTTCAAATTGTATTGCACTATGCTCTATTCATGTTTTTTTTGGATTTTGCAGCCATATCCCATTTTTGTTTTGCTTGTTACATAGTTACATAGCTACATAGCTGAAAAGAGACTTGCGTCCATCAAGTTCAGCCTTCCTCGCATTTGTTTTTTGCTGTTGATCCAAAAGAAGGCAAAAAAACACCCCCAGTTTGAAGCACTTCCAATTTTGCAACAAACTAGGAAAAAATCCTTCTTGACCCCAGAATGGGAGTCATATTAATCCTTGGACCAATAAGCTATTACTCTACATTGAAAAATGATATCCTTGAATATTCTGTTTTTGCAAGTATGCATCTAGATGCTGTTTGAACATCTGTATGGACTCTAATAAATTCAGAGGTAAATGTATTTTTTTCACATACATACTGAACTTTAATAGTGAATTTCACTGGCATTGTGATTTCTGCTACTTCAAAGATACATATTTTTCTATTATGCTTCATCTGCAAATACAACAATACTCCACATATGTTTTCCAGATATTTGGAGAACGTTAAAGGATCAAATTGGAGACTTGGGTTCATTTTAAGGTGCCTCTTTGCTTGCGTCACAGAAAAGCTATTTGTTGAAGTTTCACTATCTGTGTTACCATACCAACCTGGTATCACATTTGAGGCTACTTCTAACTATATCTAACCTTAACCAAAGCGCACACTAACCCTAATACATAGTTTAGTGCTTTATCTCTCAGGCGGATATACTGAGCATAGCAGTCATGGTGATTAAGCAGAATTGCTCGACTGCCTCATTGTGAGTTGGCCCAGCATTTAGTCACATTGTCTACCACGGAGTCCACCCTATCCCAGTAGCATGAGCTGACAGGCATCAGATCATTCTAATGCCAGGGCAGGATCTGCAACTCTTTTGCGGGCTGTCTCATGCTTGTATGCTTATTTTTCATTGTCTGTACAATGCTTAGTTACAGGTTATAACATCTAAAATAACACGGCAACCTAATGTCAAAGATATAAAGTGGCACACATCTTGGCCTTCAAAACACTCTTGTTCCTTCAAGGGATCATACAATACAAATCCTAAACTACTGTGCCTATAGTTCTTTGAAGGAGGTGGAAACAATGTACTCATCCAAAGAAAAATCAAAAGGAAATTACCCCCCCTCCAGACTCACTGTTTGATATTTGCTTGGAATGGTTTTGTTCTGGATGGGGGTGGGGGAAGGGGAGGTTGCACTCTTTGTTTGAACTTGATAGACTGGAGTCCCTTTTGAACATAGATGACTGTTACTTCAGACTGCATTATAATGGTTTATATTTGATAATGTGGAAAACAGTTGTATTTCTTTCAAGGGGAGGTTTGGCAACTTTTGGCCATCTTTGGATCACCTGTGGTCCTGAAAAGCAAGATTACCACAAGGCCAAACACAAAGCCACACTGTGCCTAGCATAGTCCCTGCACTGATTCTGCCTACTGCCTCATTCCTTTATTACTTCAACAAGAGGCATCCTAACACTCCTCTTTTGCTTTTAAGTGGAAGAGTAGTGCTGTGAACGATTAGCTCCAGCTCTGACTTGGCCAACAGGGAGATCAATAGATCCCATTCCCCTGCTCAAAGGAGTGTTGTGGTCTGCAACTCTATCGAATTCAGGTCACTTTAAGAGCTTCCTGAAGGTACACTAGCGCAGAGACATTGAGCGCTGTAATGTAGAGGAGCTCTTAAAGTGGTCTGCACCTGGTAAGCCCCTCCTTAAACTTGTTTAGATGAGCGATGAGGGAAAAATGTCTGTACCATATTGTCAACCTGGTCCTGTACCTGCAGTGCATTCCACCAAACTAGTGACTTGTTTGAAGGGATTGCACGTTTAACCCCTTAAGGACACGTGACGTGTCATGATTCCCTTTTATTCCAGAAGTTTGGTCCTTAAGGAGTTAACATGTTAATACAACCAAAAAACAGTGTTTTTATAAAACTACTAACCCCCTCTATGCTGCACCCCTCAAAAAAAATTGTGTTAATCTCTGTAGGTGCAGTGTTTCGCTTTTAAATGCTCCACATACAGACTCCAGAAACCATGACCACTTCAAATCACTTAAGTGGTCATGATGCTTGAAGTAACCCTTTGACAACTAGTATATAGATTTTGAGTTGTAAGTATGATGTAGCTTCCTCCAAATACATTTTTATTTTTACCTTTCCATGTTTTCTGCCTGAATTTCCATTAGATTTATTACACTTTCCTCCATGTATCCGCAGAATAGAGGGAGGAACAAGTTTGGAGAATACTAGGCCTTTGGATATTACTGTTACCTCTACCCTTCCGCTACAAGTGCCCTAGGGTACTCAAATGGGACCTTGATCTAGAGTAGTGGTTTCCAACACAGTCCAGGATTTAGGGATTACCCAGTTGTGTCTAAGGTGTTTTTAGAAAGTAAAAAAAAAAAAAAAAAAAAAAACACACAACACAACAGGGTGTTCCCTAAATCCTGGACTAGTGAGGGGTACTTGATGTAGTCTATCCTACAAATCGGTTTGTGTGTTTTTACTTGGGTACTGCTCATGCTTTTATATTGCACATATGTGTTTAACCATTATCAGCTGCTTATTACTAAGATTGTGATGCTTTACATGGTTTTTCTCCAGTGAGGTATAATCTACTAAGGTGTGAATTAAAATTCCAAATTTTTAACCTGTATTTTTTTAATTTTAATTCTATGCCCTGTGCCGCCTATTCCTTGGTAGAATAGTTGAATAGAGAGGGAATATTGGCATGAATGAAGTAAAGAACGTAAAAATAAAATTAGGAATTTGAATGGGGAAAACTAATTTATGTCAGGATCAAGAATTCAATATTAAGTAAATTAAATTAGGAAATAAAGGCGCACAGATCGGTTACTTGATTTCTGAGACATTGAGCAGTAGAGATCTCCAGCAGACAGACTACCTAACAGAATCCCTGAGGGGTGACAGCCTGCTCTAGGATATCCATCTATTGGTGAAGGTTTGCAATCAGACAATATGCAGAGCTGTTTACTGTTGATGATTTTTACATTCATGTTACGCACTGCTATACCATGGATCAATAATCTGTGTTATAAGCAGTGCAGATGTAGAGTTTGCATTCCCAGTTTTCAATGTCCCTTAAATAACACATGATACTGCCCAGCAAGGTATTCAAATCAACAAATTGGCATGAATTAAAAATCAATTATTCTAAGTCTTCACACAACAGCTACAAAGCTAGGGAGAACTAAAGATCTGTATAGTACAAGTATGACATATACGTTTCTTTATTACAATACTAAACCATGACCACATTTAAAAGCGTGTTAAAAAAAAAAAAAAGTTACCAAACTAGTTTCTCCTGGACATCAACAAGCAAGTTGTTTCAGATCTAAAAACACCAAGCACCATATCCAAAACAGCAGTATTACGAGAAAAGTACATATCTGTATCTACTACTACATATTGATTTAACCCCTTAAGGACCAAACTTCTGGAATAAAAAGGGAATCATGACATGTCACACATGTCATGTGTCCTTAAGGGGTTAAAGTAATAAATGTAAAACTGGAGTTCTTAGAATATTCCTATGAATAAATGGAAGTTCAAGAACAAAACCTCATACATATGGCTCACTGGCACCACTACACATGCAAATTTATATAAAGCCATAATTCCTCATAGGCATGCATTAAATCAATCATCTCTACGGGGAACATTCAGCGTCTCCATGCAGTGAGAGGAGAAACAGAATGTACATGCTTCACACAGTAGCACCTCTAGTGGCCGTCAAAATGACTGCCACTACAAGTCTTGCTAGGCGGCATTTACACTCTATTCTCTGTAGTGGCTCTGGTGACCATAGTGTCATGCATGTTCACCAGTTAACTGGTGTAATGGGGTAAAAGATGGACTCTAAAAAATACACACACACATTGTATTTAACAGTGGGTTACTCGAATGAGGACAAATTAGGAAAGGTCATGGCAGCAAGACAAGGCCAATTTATGACTATACTTAGGGTCTCTCTAATTCCGTATTCTTGAAACCTGTCCTTGGGACCAGCTATCAACAGTGACTAATCAGTGGATTTTTTTATGAGTTACTTGCAGATACAGTTAAATCTGACCTTCTTGTGGTGCTTGAAGGAAAGTTACCAACAGATTTTTACTAGGGCATTTCTATAAAATATTTAAGTCTGCACAATTCTTTAAAAGACAAATATTCAAATTGTGCCCGCTAGGTATAGTTCTAAAATGAGACAAAACACCTTAACCGCTATGACTGAATGTAATGGATAGTGTGCTTTGAGCTGTGACAATACTAGGCTGAAAGTGTACACCATGATCTTGTTCCCCTTAATTTCAGATGTATCAAAGCTTGATCATGTAGAAGTGTAATTTAAATATCAATTTGGCCATAGAGGGACAGGCCCTAGCTGCCAGACATGTGAGCCCCAGTTTTTAATAAAAAAAAAAACAAAAAAACACTTGCAAAGCTTAATTTGTGTCAGACGCTATGATGACTACAATGGGCGATGAGTTATGGTGCATAGATTGCCCCTTTAAGCATAACTTACACTCAATTAACTGTCCACAAAGAATATGAAAGATAAGTATTATACATTCAGTCTACACATTGTGTTTACAGAAAATTGCCAGCAATGGTTTTATACCATAGTTGCTGACCTGCATAGGTCAGTAATGCTTATGATAAAAAGTGAAATGGAGAATGTACTCTTGCTCATCTTACCATACATTTAAATTAATTGGTTTTTGTGGAGTAAAATATTTTTTAACCCCTTCAGGACGGAGTCAATAGTACACGTTCTGATCAAAACAAAACGTAAACAAAAACTGGAATTTGCGCTATGTGTGTGTTCAACCGTAATTCACCTCTTTCATATTAAATGCACCCACACTTATATATCATTTTGTTCTGGAGAAACAGGGCTTTAAATTTCATATCAAATATTTATATATGAAAGAATTTATTATGAATAAAATTTAAAAAAACTGAAAATTTTTTAAAAAAAAATATGTAGTTCCGCCTCACATTTTAGCTATAAATGTCATAATACTGTTAGGTTTTACTGCAAAAAAATGCCCATATTTGTAATCAGCGATGTCTCACAAGTACAACAGTACCCCCCATTAACAGGTTTTATGGTGTTTTGGAAAGTTACAAGGTCAAATATAGAACGTTCCATTTTCAAATTGGAATTTGCCAGATTAGTAATGTTACCTTTGAGATGGTGTGGTAGCCTAGGAATGAGAATTACCCCCATAATGGCATACCATTTGAAAAAGTAGACAACCCAAGGTATTAAACGTGGGGTATGTTTAGTCTTTTTTAGTAGCCACTTAGTCACAAACACTGGCCAAAGTTGTGTGAAAAAAAGAAAAACTAATATTTGGCTAGTGTGTGTGACTAAGTGGCTACTAAAAATGACTGGACATACCCCATTTGCAATACCTTGGGTTGTCTACTTTTGCAAATGGTATGCCATCAAGGGGGTAATTCTTATTCCTGGGCTACCATACGGTCTCAAAGGCAACATAACCAATCTGGCAAATTTCAAAATGTCAAAAAAATGAAATGCAAGCCTTATATGTGACTCTCTAACTTTCCAAAACACAATAAAACCTGTACATGGGGGGTATTGTTATTCTCGGGAGACTTCACTAAACACAAATATTAGTGTTTTAAAACAGTAAAACATATTACAACAATATAGTCCATAAAAGTGCCGTTTGTTTGTAAAAAATGCAAAAAAGTCACTTTTACTTAAAATATCATCGTTGTAATACAATTTACCAGTTTGAAACACTAATATTTGAGTTCAGCGAAGTCTCCCGAGTAAAACAGTACCCCCTATGTACAGGTTTTATGGTGTCTTGGAGGGTTACAGGGTCAAATATAGTGCTTGCGAATTAAATTCTCTGCACTTTCTCCCTGTGTTGTCAGGCATGTGAATCAAATTTTAATTAATCAAATCACATAATTATGTTAAAAGATTAAATATACACGTAGAATTTTAATATATATATGCATTTATAGGTATTTAAATTCTACGTGTATACTAATGTAATCTTTTATGTAAATATATATATATTTGCGGTTTTTGTATTTTAAATATAGATAGATGTATACAAAATGTCATTCTAAGTGTATTTTGTTACATATATCAAAATACAGTTAGAATGAAATTACATATGAATATATAATTTATATTAAATTTTGTTTCAATATTTCATTTATTATTGTAATTATACATATATACACACACACTACATGTAACATCACTCTAAGTATATTTTAATACTAATATATATTAATATTAAAATACACTTTGTATGACGTTACACATATACATATACATATATATACATATATATATATATTACACACGTCCCAGCACTCAATGCTCCCGGTCTTTTAATGCTCCGGTGCTGTCTCCAACCAAATTGTATACAATACCAGTAGAGAGCACTCAGGAGTCTTTCAAGGTAAATTTCATCTGTTGCTTTATTGAGCAATTACAAATTCACACAACGTTCCAGTCTGTAAAAGTCTGAAAATATATTTTCATTTTATTTTTAAACATGTTGAATTTATTTATTTTTTTTAACTTTCCCACCAGCAGGGGGACTGTCTGACATTTCAGGACAGTCCCCCTGCTGGCAGATCCACAGCCAACTATAGGGGGCCATGTGATCGCTCTTTGAGAGCGATCACATGGCCCCTGGGGGCCTCATTTGCCGGGGGAGGGCTGCCTGGGCTGTCAGGCAGCCCTCCAGAAGAGGATCGTGGCGGAGGTAAGTACGCCGGACCTCCAGGGGCTCAAAGCCGTTACGACGTTCTATGCCACCGCAGCGGCTTTAAAGCTCACTTAATGCGGGACGGCATAGAACGCCGTAACGGCGTTAACGGGTTAAAGGGCCTCTAAGCTGACACTTCGGCAATTAGAGCAACTTGTATTGGGCTGTATGACATTCAGGGTGAGAGGATATGACGAGAGCTCCTGGGGTGTCCAGGTAAGTTGTCAAACCATTCTTAAATGGCTTGACTAGTTACATAACTGAAAAGAGACTTGTATCCGTCAAGTTCAGCCTTCCTCACATTTGTTTTTTGCTGTTGAGCAAAAAGAAGGCAAAAAACCCTCAGTTTGAAGAACCCACAGAATGGCAGTCAGATTAATCATTGGATCAAGAAGCTATTACCCTACATTGAAAAATTATATCCTTGAATATTCTGTTTTTGCAAGTATGCATCTAGTTGCTGTTTGAACATCTGTATGGACTCTGGTAAAACCACTTCTTCAGGCAGAGAATTCCACATCCTTATTGTTCTTCCAGTAAAAAACAACAACTTTTCTTTGCCTTAGACAAAATCTTCTTTCTTCCAGTCTAAACGCATGCCCTTATGTCCTATGTAAAGTCCGGTTTGTGAATAGATTTCCACACAATGGTTTGTATTGGCCCTGGATATATTTGTATAATGTTTTCATATCCCCTCTGAAGTGACATTTTTCTAAACTAAGGAGGTTTAAATTTGTTAACCTTTCTTCATAGCTGATATGTTCCATTCCTTTTATTAATTTTGTAGCCCGCCTCTGCCCTTTTTCTAGTGCCATAATATCCTTCTTTTTGACAGGTGCCCAAAATTGCACAGCATATTCAAGATGTGGTCAAAATGATATTCTCATCCTGAGAATGAATGCCCTTTTTCACACCTTAGCCACTGCTGATTGACATTGCACATTGTTGCATAGGCTGTGGTCTATAACAATTCCAAAGTCCTTTTCGTGTGTTGTTATCCTCAATTCGCTTCCATTAAAGGTATACGTTGCTTGTGCATTCTTTACACCAAAGTGCATAACTTTGCATTTTTTCAACTTTCATCTGTCATTTGAGAGTGCCCAATCCATCTAAATCCCTCTGTAGCAAAGTAATATCTTGCTCATGTGGTATTACTTTATAGAGTTTTGTGTCATCTGGCAACACTGAAAACATGACTTTCAATGCCTTTTTTCAAGATCATTTATAAGCATGTTAAATAGAAGGGGTCCCAGAACAGAACCCTGAGTGACACCACTTGCCACCTCTGTCCAGTTTGAAAATTTACCTTTAATGATAACTTTGTACTCTATTTTTAAGCCAATGTTCTACCCAAGAACAAGAATTTTCATCTAGACCCATTTCTCTGAACACTAATCTATTGTGTCGAACTGTATCAAATGCCTTGGCAAAATCCAAATAGATCACATCCACTGCAACAACCTGATCTATACTTCTACTTACTTCTTCATAGAATGCAATCAAGTTCATTTGACATGACCTATGTTTCATAAAACCATGCTGATTTTTGCTGATAACCACGTTGTTCTTACGGAATTCTTGTATATTATCCCTTAATAACCTTTAAAACACGTTTCCAGCCACAGAAGTTAAGCTCACAGGTCTATAATTTCCAGGCAAGGATTTTGAACCCTTTTTGAATATAGGAACCACATCTGCCTTCCTCCAATCCTCCGGAACACTTCCTGAAAGAAAAGAATCTTAGTAGAAACTAGCAAGTCTGGGAGGCTGCAAGTGCACTCCTGGTACCATAAACACCAGAGGTCACCATTAATATTGATCACTTATGGACCTTTGCAATCTGTCACCCAAACGCTGTACAGATTTTTACAATCATGATTGTATAAAAATATGCCCACACAATAATTGCATATACATGATCCTGTGAATATTGGGAGTATGCATTAATATAATCAGAACATAAATCCATGTACTATATTTATAGATTTGTTTTATATAACGGCCTTTAACAAAACAGGCATAAACATACTGGTTCGTTTACAGTTATATTACACGTTATATAACACACTTATGCAAATATTCTGTAAAAAAATTAAAATAAAAATACAGAACTTTGGATATGATAAATCCATAATGAGGGGGGAGGGACGAGTCAAAAATGTCCCTGAGATCGAAGTCAATTCTGCTTTGCAGGTAATGAGTACATTTGTACTGTTTGTGTTCCAACAGATATGATCTCCTTATCAAAAAAAAAAAAGACAAAATCTGTAGAACAGGACATTGCAAACAAGTTATTATCCAAAAATAGAGAGATTGCACAGATAACTACAGTGTCAAAACCAAGTAATAACTGCAGAGTGTATAGACAAAAAGACTGGCACTAGACATTGTGCCACTTGTGCACCATTTAACCATTAGAGTACTAATTGGCAGTGGAACCCTTTACACTTCAAAATTCTGTACATCCCTCCAGCACTTAGGAAGTGCCACATAAGACAGAACAGATTTTAAATACAGCAAGTATTTGCTCAAGATCTCTCCTTTCTATATGCATTTAGTGCAATATAATTTTAATAACATCCTTTCAAAAAAAGACATTTGCCAATAGTAACATACAGTTATCATGACTTACAAATCATATATGGGTGGTTACCTAATTGTTTGGACAGTTAGTCTTGTGTAAAAGCAGTTACTCTACCTGAAGAGGAATGAATGCATAGGATTAGTTGACTGGTATTAGCACATGCTTTTACCGCTACATCTGCTGTTTTAAATCTATATGCAAGAGAATAAAATATCTTACACTTTATTTTGCATTTGTATTTTCTTTTAACATCTATGGTCCATTATAAGAGAGGCTGGATGAATTCTAGGGACACTGTTTGATATCTTTAGCATTTCTGAAGGCTTGAATTTGACAATAAAAGTAATCACCTCTATATGCTTTGCATTTACATTTGAAGATCTTGGGAAATCTTCAGGATGGACTCTGTGCCTAAGGGAGGTTTTCTAGCACCTTGTTACATTTTATTACTTTGTTTTTGGACACTTAAAAGGTTGTGATTGGCACTGTATACATTTACCAAATTAGCTCAGGAGAGTTTTCAGTTCTAAAACATGATCCTATTGCTGTTTGTGTGGCCTATTTTGCCTTAAACCTGAACGATACACAGAAACAAGCAGAATCACAGGCGGCTATAGATGGGTGGGGGAGGTATGAACAAACATTACATTTGTCAAAAAGGCAGCACCAGACTCAGTATGGTCAGCAGAGGTAGGTAGATTTTAGACTTTTGATTATTTTTTTGTTACTTGTAGTTCACTTTTTGAACACATATTGGAGATTTACAAAGAAAAATCCAACTCATTCTCTCTTGCTCATGCATGTGCTTTGTGTTATGCAACAGAATTATTACGGACCCTTGAAACTACATCATACCAGTCATGTCCATACATGCTCAGTGTGTACTAGCACTGAATGGACATTAATAAGACAAAATCGAAAATCTTGGACACTTCCTTACCCTGCATGATGCACTAATTGCTTGACAAAAGTGGATGATTGGTAACCCCCACAAAGAAATAAAATCCAGCGCAGTGAGCACGACACCATAAATGTGTTGATGAATAACTCACCAACACATTCATAGGTTTAGGTGCAACTTTACAAAATTAAGCAAACTAATAACTGCCAGGTATAAATATATTGTTAAATAGGATATGATTTTAATATGTAAAAAAGTGAAAAAAAAAAAAAGTTGTGTAAATTAACAGCCACGTGTCCCTTAAAAAGGATTATATTGGTTTGTACAACAACGTGGTAACATATTTCTTCTTATAACGGTGTGTTGCACTTAGTACCATTACGCCATCCTACAATAAGAGAATAAGAAAAATTAAAAAATAAATACCCACACATAAAACAAATTATAATAAAGAGAGTCACAAGATATTTGGTGTACCTTAATGGAGAGTGCATAAAGATGGTTCAGCATGACATGGTTAGGTTCTGGGAGCAAGGCTGGATCACACTGCAATGTAAAAAGGACAATCAGATACAGCAAATGGTGTCATCACCAAATAGCAGTACGTTTTACTCGAGTAAAATAGCCAATAGGCAAAGCAAACTACAAATGAAATCCAACCTGCAATCATTGGTTAAAAAGCATATACGTTTACTTACCGAAATGCCGGTGTCTTTATTAAGAATAACTTGTAGTAAATGGGGAGGGAGGATGGGTGGATTTTTAAAGCGTTCTTCTAGTTTACAATTATAAGGATCTTGTTGATATGGGCCAGGTGGTGAACTGGATAACTCTAAAACAAGAAATAAAAAGGATTTAAATACACACCAGGTATTCCCCAATGTTAAATTTTAGACCAAAATAGCTGAACTAGAGTCATAGTTGACATGAAGATTTTTGTTTTCTATTTTGGTATTATATTTTAAATTTACTTTGAATTTCTGACAATTATCACTTTAGTGCATAACCCTGACAGCCCCAAAACTAAGGAATGAATACCAGATATTTACAATGAACTATTTTGATGCCATGATAACAAAACACACATGACTTATCTGATCTAGTTCAGAAAAATACCAATGTGATTTGCTAAAGGTTAGAAAAAGGTAGTCTAATCCCAAAGATGCAATCATCAGGTACACAAATATTCACAATTAGTCCTTAAAGATATAAAATAAAAGCATTCATTTTGATAAAAAGCACCTTAGAATGGTAGGAAAAAAAAAAAAAAATTTTTAAAAAAAATTAGTATGACTAAATACACACTACTCTAATTGCATGTAAACACACACAATAAATTCTGGTTTTAGTTCTGTTGACAGTTATAAGCTTACCTGACAAATCAGAGCCCTTCAAAGAATCCACCATTAAGGCATCAAAAACTTCAAAGTCTGTTTTCTTCACTTGAATTACATTATTTACTGTGCCAAGTTGGCTGGTCGCTACAGGCTGGTTATAGAAACAATAATTAAGTTTACAGACTGAAAAATGATATTTCAACTCAAAATTTCTCATCTTAGACAGCCATAGAATTTAATAAAGGAATCCTTATGAATAAGCCTGTTCATATTTATTTCCTTGACAGCAAGTGGGTGATTCAAGCTGAGATAGTTGCATCCTTCACCATGGGAGTTGTAGAAAACTACCAGTGTGTTATTCATGAAATACAGCTGTTTGGCATTCAATTGATCAATTTATAGAGTTACGAACTTGGGGTAAGAAAGTTCACGGTCAGATTCAGGGACCTGCAGTGACACTAACATAGGTAGGGTAAAAACGTTAGCGATAAGAATACATGCTGTAGTGTTGCTTTAATTATGGTTCAAAGCACTGCAAAATAGATTTGAAGAAAAAGAAATAAACTAGGACAGGGGTAGGCAACCTATGGCATGTGTGCCATGCACAGCACTTTGTGTGTCTTTGCACGGCACTCAAGGCTGCCAGAGCCACACAGGGTCTGGCCTATCAGGAGTCCCATTGAAACTTCAGATATCTGTTAATACAAAAAGGTGGTGAAGGACAATCCTCAATTTATGCATTGCAGCACGTAGAGGAAGTGATCTCAAATCACTTCATTCCAGCACTTGTGAATAAGAATCCACACTGGAGTAGAGTAGCCCGCAGCTGCTGTTGCAGCTCCTTTCCTTGAGCTGTAACTGGCCAGCCTGGTCCCCACTGGACCCCAAGGAAGCCACCCATACTGCTAGATATACACAGAACTGCAGAATAACACTCCCCTCATACAAATAATGCAAAACAGCCCACACACAAACATATTACACAATCCACACAAACTCAACACCACCAACAATCCACATCCGCACAACCCCACATGCAATATACCAAACAGCCCCACACATATACACACACACACACACACTTCCACAAGCGGCCCCCCATACATAACACCACAAACTACTTGTGAACAATATAATAGCTCATATATTATTGCCATTTATATAGCACCAACAGATTCCATAGCGCTTTACAATATTATTAGAGAGGGGATTTAACTATAAATAGGACAATTACAATAAAACTTACAGAAACGATAGGCTGAAGAGGGCCCTGCTCAACCATATATGCACGATACAAAGCAAATGCAGTATAAATAACACAAGCAGAATATGGCAACATGCACACCTCAATGTTAAAAAAAAAAAAAAAAATAGGACATCACAATCTTATCTCGGCACAGTACTGCTAAAAGGTTGCCTACCCCTGAACTAAGATAAAACTACTGTGGACTTCACATAAATGTAAAATGTGAGAGATTTTCCTAGGAAAAATATGGGTTTTAAGAAAAAATAGGAAATCAAATAAGCCATTACTCTGTAATTTCCTCACTGCAATCAAACTGTGAAACGGAGTAGTCTGGGGCAGCAGAGCCAGTAACAATGTGCCCTGGTAATGTTCTGTAAAATACTGTAATGACAGGAGCGTTACATTGTGATTTATTGTGTAAAATAATATATGAGTTACCTCAGCAGGATCATGAGTCCACTGACCATCTACAAGAAATTTGTACTGATGTTCACCTTCTGGAAGGTCTAATATTGCAACAAAGTTGTTATGGCTGAAACACAGAACAAAACGTAGTAAACTAGTTTGTATAAAAAAGGAAGAATACACAATATTCTGAAATATTAACCCGTTAAGGACACATGATGGAAATATTTTTTTTTGAAAATCAATTTTATTCGTAAATAGAAGTAACGCATTTCGGGCTCGCAGGCCCAAGTCATCATAAAAACATGAATGTACAATGGATAAGCAGTTGACTTCTACATTGAGATTTCAATGAAGGAGAGGATCAGTTACAGTTCAAGTGGTCGCTCATGTCCAGTGCCCATAGTTAGGTGTGTTGTTGTGTCAATTAAGTTATGGAAATGTGTGAAGGTATTAGAAACGCATAGATGGGCTAGGCCCGTGAGAGGTAGGTCAATGTGAGTGTGAAGGAATCCGTATATTGTCTGAGGTGATCTGTGTGCCTGTGTGTAGGTGAGTATATCACATTTCGGGCTCGCAGGCCCCATTTGTCATACAAGCATGAAGAGACAATAAATAAACCGTTGATATCTGTAACAAGCTTTCAATGAGGGCGAGAGTCAATCATAGTTCCCCTGTACGCTCATATCAGTGCCCTTAGTTAGATGTGCTGTTGACTCTATTAAGTCGTTGAATTATGTGAGTATAGGAGACTCGCACAGTCGGGCTAGGCCCATAGGAGACGGGGCAGCGTAAATGAAATGGGGTCCGTATATTGCCAGAGGTGCTATATGTGCCTGTAGTGTATTTATAAGAGTGGCATCGATAAGGATGGGGAGGTGGATAACCTGTAGTTATGCGTGGCCCTAGTATATATAAGTGGGTGATGTGGGTCCATCGTAGAAAGAGTTGTTCAGATTATGATGTGACGTGGGAAGTGTGTAGTGGTGAGCGATGAGGCGAGTGTGCGGGGAGATGGGTGGGGGTGTAAGTCCAAGGCTGCACTGCACGCCCATCGTCCGCATTAGCAGTTACCCTGCGTGTCCTCGTCGTGTAGTCTATCAAGGTCCCCTAACCGTGGCTCTGATTCCATGCAGTAGTCGGAGAGGGTCGGGGGGGGGGGGGGGTCATGTGCAGGACAGCCGTATCCCTGTTTATATTTATGTAGTGGGGTGTCATTCAAATTCGTCAGCTATTCCTTTGAGGGTATGTCTCCCTTGTGGGTCCACATGGTCACCCGTTTGTCTCAGTCGGCAGTGCCTTCAGAGTCATTCCCCCAACTTAGAGAGACGCGCGGTATACGGTTGAACGTTGCCACCTCCAGCGGCCATCATGGAACGCATCACCTGCCATAGACGCGTCGCCCGGCAAGCACCCCCGCCCGGCCCCCCCCTACCGCTGCGCGCGGAAGGTAAACCACGGAGTCCAGAGTTCAGCACACTTCGGACCCCTGCCCATCAGCTCCGCTTGCATAGCTTCAGCCGCTCGAATATCCTCAACTCGATGGATCCATTCTTCTCTGGTAGGGATATCTGTCTTTTTCCAGTATACTGGTACGAGTGATTTAGCAGCGTTTAGCAGGTGCCGCAAGATGGATTTTTTATATGTAGATAGTGGTTGTGTGGAGACGTAGAGTAGGATTAGCTCCACCGACCAGGTGATATCCCCCAAAATCTGACGGATGTCGGATTTGATCTGATCCCAGTATGGGCCAATATGCTTACATTCCCACCAGATATGTATAAGTGTCCCCCTTTCTTCCTGGCACCTCCAGCACGTTGGGGATGTGTTAGGGAAAATTTTGTGAAGCAATACCGGCGTTCGGTACCACATGGAGAGTAGTTTGTAGTTAACCTCTTGGTTGCGGGAGCTAGAGGAGCTTTTGTGTTGCCATATCAACGCCTTGTCCCATTGTGTAGGGGTGAACGTGGTGTCCAGTGCCCGCTCCCATTGACGTTGGAAAGTGTTGTTCTCCGAGGTAGAACCAGTCAGCAGGTGTTGGTAGAGGTGTGAGATGGCTTTCCCAAGAGAGGTGCCGCGAGAGCAGGCGTCTTCAAACCATGTCAGGTCTCTGTGCAGTCTGTCCCGGTGTGGGAGGGAGTTGTAATAATGTCGTAGCTGCATGTATCGGAAGGTCGCCATATGGGATCGTGGGCGCGACTCTAGCAGCTCGTCTAGAGATTTTAGTTCACCATCCTGAGTGACTTTGTAGATTGGTATATAATCCTCTACACCCAAAAACGCCCATGCTTCCGTCGATGGTCCGCCTCCAATATTGGGATTGTGCTGGATCGGGAGTAAGGGACAGGGGGTCGGGGACACCTGAGGCATTTCTCTGAGGGTTTCCCACGCTAGTAATGTTTCAGCCACCGGTCCTTCCTCTCCCTTCCTGCTGCCCCTGGTTGTTCTCCTCAGCCAAACCGCTGCCTTTAGTTTTGCAGCCTCTCCCATCCGATCCAGAGTTACCCATTGTTTACTCGTATCTGTTTCGTGCCATTCCAGGATCCTTTGTAGGACTGTTGCCTGGTGGTACTTTTTAAAATCCGGTAGGGCTAGGCCCCCTCTGTGTCTTGGCAAGCATAGGATGTCATGGCGTAGCCTGGATCGTTCCCCCCTCCAGACATATTTTATGACCGCTGATTTCAAGGTCGAAAAAAATAATGCTGGCAGGGTTGTTGGTATAGTCTGAAATAAATAAAGGATCCTAGGAAGAATGTTCATTTTTAAGACTGCTATACGGCCATGCCAAGTAATGTGGGGGTAGGACCATCTCATTAGGTCTGTTTCGATGTTTCTCAGCAGTGTTTCGAAATTACGGTGGTATATTCCCTGGGGGCCTGTGGTGAACCAGATGCCAAGGTATTTCATTGCCTCTGTGCACCAGCGAAATGGAAAAAGTGGGCCGAGGGCTTCATATTCCGCTGCGGGTGTGGTGATATTCAGGGCCTCACATTTCACCAGATTGAGTCGAAACCCCGACATGCGGCCAAACCGTTCTATTTCTGAGAGTATGCAGGGCAAAGTGATCCGAGGTTGGGAGATGAAGAACAAGAGGTCGTCCGCGTATGCGGCTACCTTGTGCTCAGTGTCTTGCCAAGTGTATCCGTGGACATTCCGGTTGTCCCGTATTGCCTGTAGGAGTGGCTCCAGTGACAGTGCAAACAGGAGTGGCGATAGGGGACACCCCTGTCTGGTCCCGTTCGTGATCCCAAAGCTCGTGGTGAGTGCACCATTAACTCGCACTGCTGCCCTCGGTGTGCTGTACAGAGCGGTGATCCAAGCCATGATCCGTTGTCCAAAGCCCATGTACCGGAGTGTCTGAAACATGTATGCCCAGTTGACCCGATCAAAGGCTTTCTCTGCGTCAGTCGACAACAGCAATAGATGTTTTCGGTGTTTCCGCGCGTGGTGTTGTATTGAGAATAGGTGTAGGGTGCGGTCCCGTGCTTCCCGTCCCGGGATGAACCCCGTTTGGTCCACATGGACAAGGCTCGGAAGGATTCGTTGGAGTTTAGTTGCCAACACCTTAGTTAACAACTTAGTATCCACATTTAGCAGAGAGATTGGCCGATAGTTACAGCATTGTTCTGGGTCTTTCCCCGGCTTAAGCAGGACAGTTATGGTCGCAGTCAGGGACTCGATGCCAAAACGACCGCCCTCCGAGACTTCATTAACCGCCCTTGTCAGCCGCGGTAAGAGCGGCGTGGCGAATTGTTTATAGTACCCCGAGGGGAATCCATCGGGTCCTGGGGCGCGTCCATTTTTAGTGTGTTTCAAGGCAGCGGCGAGATCTTCCGTGGTAAGTGGTTCGTCGAGGAAGGACGCGGCGTTTGGATCTATTCGTGCCCGCACGGTGTCCTGGATGTATGTTTGTACATGAGGCGGTGCCTCCCCGTCTGGTGCCTGATCCCCTGGTGGACGGAGGTTATAGAGGGATTCATAGTATGCCCTGAATTCGTCCGCTATGTCTTCTGGGTATGGGGACACTCTGCCCGAGGTTAAGCGCAACTTTCGTACTTGAGTTCGTGGTGTGTCGCCTTTCAGTAAGCGGGCGAGGAATTTCCCGCCCTTATTCGCATGTGTGTAGAAAAAGTTCGAGCGTTGGAGCGAGCGTTGATATCGCTTCGTGAGGAGAGTGTTCAGGGTGCGCCTAGCTTCCATTAATTCACCATACTTCTCGGTGAGCTGAGACCATTTGTGTTGGAGTTCCAAGCGTTTAATGGGGTCATATACGTCTGCCATTGCACTGGTCGCCTCCTTTCTCTTGCGAGTTGCGAGACCTATAAGTATGCCACGTATGACACTCTTGTGTGCCTCCCACACCGACGACATCCCTTCCGTCTCGTTCTCCGTGAAGTATGAAGTCAGCGCTTGGGAAATCTCTTCTTTTACCGTAGGGTCTTGAAGTAATGATTCATTAAGACGCCATGACCAGGTGGCCGGCTTGAACAGTGGGGATTCCAACTCAATCCGGACCGGACCGTGATCCGACCACGTGGCTGGTTCGACAGTTGCCGACCGTAAGCGGGACAGTCCAGCTTGTTTGATAAGGACATAGTCTATTCGGGAGTAGCGATTGTGCAGCGCAGAGTAGTCTGTATAGTCCCTGTCGGCGGGATGGAGTGTCCTCCAGCAGTCTACCAGGGATAGCTCACCTAGTGCTTTGCAGATAGATCGGATGTGGGTTTGCGAGATGCAACTGTGACCGGTGGAGGAATCTAGCAGAGGATCCAACGGAGCGTTGAAGTCTCCTCCCACTATCAGAGCTCCTTCCGAGAATCCGCGAAGCTTGTTCAGTGCCCCATGTAAGAACTGTGCTTGTTTTGAGTTGGGAACGTATATGGTCGCGAGAGTGTAGATCCTGTCCGCAATCAGTCCCTTCAGGAAGAGGCCTTGGGTATCTGCCAATCTGTCCATTTCCCGGAAGCCTAACTCCGCGGCCAGCAGGATCGCCACTCCCGCGCGTCGGGTGGTCGGGTGATCGTTGCAGTAACTCACTGGATAATGAGAGTTTCGGAGTTTGGGGGCTGCGTCGGCTCTGAAATGAGTCTCCTGGAGCATCGCTATGGATATGCGTTTGCGGTGCAGGGATCTCAACAGATGCGAGCGGCGTTCCGGGATATTCAAGCCTCTGCAGTTGAGAGTCATGATGGCCAGGGGTGTGCGAGTATATGCCATGGGACTTCTCGTGATCGGGCGCACAGAACCGCGGAGGGAGGAGTCGTGCGGCCGCACGAGCCGAGCCCGACCGTGCAAGATAGGTGGATTGATGGCCCGCGATGAGGCGCGGCCCCACGGGAACGTCGCGCAGCTCCGCTTGGGATAGGTGTGGAGGGGTCCTGTCAGAGCCAGCTACTGTCAGGTAGTCGGTTGGATATCGTCTTTCATTAGACGTATGACGTTTAAACGTGCAACGCAGCCTCGGGGGGAAGTATGTGTGTATTGTGTGGTGTGTGCGTGAGTGGGGTAGGGGTATGGGGTCTGCAATGTGGCTGTAGTTCGTAATTAAGGTTTTTTGTTGAATAAAAATAAGGGTGAACTACGTTGGTCACCCCTTCGGGCGTCGTCCCTCTCGGAGTTTGGAGAGGTGGAGACCCCGATATCTCCCCGAAAGGAGGGTCACTTGTGTCCCAGCCGGAGTGGCCTGGTGTCACCCCGATAACCTGATCGGTGAGTGAACGTACCTGTGGCTCCGCTGGGGATCCTACACAAGTGTAAGTGTAGGGTAGTGGTCGTAGTCGAAACCAGGAAAGATGCAGTTTATATATTGTATGTACTGTAAGTATGGAGTTGTCCCGCTCCAACCAGGTCCCGGCCCAAGTGCGGATATACATGGGAGGTGTGTATTAGCAGAGAGGTAAACATAGTGTGAACTAACAAACTAATAAATCAGGTGTGCAAAGTCTAAACATGGATGAAAATAACCATCAATAGCGAATATCACCAACTTCCCATGTGTGCCCCGCCGTCCCGTCTGCCACAGTGCCCATCCCCGGTATGTGCCTCATAAGGCAATCGTGACCCTTCACCAGCTATCAGAGTCCAACTGACCAAGTTATGCCAGCTGGGCCTAACCAAGGGTATGAGCTGTCGCCCCTTAATCCTTTATGTCTTGCTCCATGTGGGTATACGTCAGGACCATTATGCTATGTATACTGCTCGGGTCAGTCTGTGACTGCAGTGGTAGTCTGTGGTGTTTTTTTTTTTTGTCGTTAGCTGGCTGCGTTGTGGGTTGGGGTAGAGAGGAGGGTCATCTGTGGCTAAAATGTAGGTTTCTAATTTAATGAATTTTTTTTTTTTTTTTTAACAATATATATATATTTTTTTTAAGAAACCAGAAAGAGGGTCCCTACCTGTCGCCGTCGCCTATAGCTACCCCCCACCCCATCCAGGCTGTCCCACCAACCTGTCGTTAGCTTCATTACCGACTCTGATTCCCAGCATAGTACATTGCCCTGACCCCGCAAATCACATTGCATGACACCAGTATAGGCAGCAAATGGTACACAACCAACAGTCTCACGGTAGCATATTAAGGCAAGATACTTATCGAGGAGGGTGGAGGGTAGAAGTCCAGTGTCCCAACATAACAGGCAGTCCAAAACCAGGAGTGTCAGCGAGTGGACCACAGGGGCTAGCTTCTCCATAGGTTTAGGTAGGAGGGAGGGCCAGTTGCAGCTGGAGTTCACATTTCTTACCCCCCTTGTTCCCACCACCCAAGTTGCTATCTGGTATCCCCCTATATTGTAACTTGAAGCAGGGTCAGCAAATGTAAAATTAGAGGAGGGGAGCACAAATATGGCGTAGCAATGTCAGTAGGACTAAAGGGGTCAACTTCTAGCGACATCCGGGCAGTCTCCCGAGGCTAGGCCGGGCAGAGGTAGTCTAGCGGGCTGATACTTGCGGGGCTGCGGGCGTTACTCATGAATATTCCGTCCAGGGGGTTCTGGTGGAGATCTCCCCCTCCGTCGGCAGGGTGCTCGTTGTGGTCTCGGGCCTGCGTCCAGAGGTCTCCGAATCCAGTCGGGTACCTGTACGGGGGGGAGGCCCAAATCTTCTAGAAATCTTGGAACCTCGTTCGGCCCACGTAGTGACACCCATCCATTTTGATGTCGAGCTGACAGGGCAAAAGGGAAGCCCTATTTATAGGGGATGTTGCGTTCCCGGAGAAGTGAGGTGACAGGTCTCAGGGCCCTCCTGGCTTCCAGTGTAACCGGCGACAAATTGTTGAATAATGATATTTGCGCCCCTCGGTATTCCCATGTGGGTTGGTTTCTGGCAGCTTTCATAATGGCATTTTTTACGGAGAATGAATGGAGGCAACAGATAATATCTCGGGGGCCATCTTCTATGGAGCGGGGTCTTAAGGCTTTCCATCAGGTCATCTCCAGGTAGTATCAGGCTGAAGAGGGCCATTAGGGAGCTTTCGATATCTTCGTCCCCTTCTGTCTCTGGAACGCCGCGCACCCTTATGTTACAGCGGCGTCCGCGATTGTCGAGGTCCTCGACAGTTCTGCGGAGTTGTAGGAGTAGGTCACCCTGTCTGGCTAGCGCTGTGTCAGTGGATGCCAGCCTGGCTGTGTAGGCCTCATGTGAATGTTCCACAGCTTGTATTCGGTGCCCCTGTGCGGTTACCTCCGTCCGGATGCCTGCAATTTCGGCCCGTAGTGCATCCTGAATGGTGGTGGTAAGCACCAGGAGATCGTTTTTTGTGGCCATGGAGGCCGCAATGGTGCGGAGTTCCTCTCCGATGCCTTCCAGGGTTGAGGCAGAGGGAGCTCCGGGTACGGCGGAGGTGGGCGCCATCTTGGATCCCGAGGCCTCGCCACGTGTATCTGCGGTGTTATGCAGGTATTCGTCCATCGGACCTTGCGACTGGCTCAGTTGGGGACCCCTGGCGGTCTTAGGAGGTTCACCTTTGCAGGTGCGTCCCATGGGAGCTAAAATAGGCCGTTTAATAGGGCTTTACAGGGACCGGTGGAGCGGAGCGATCAGCTTATGCTTCCATCTCCGTCGACGTCCAAGCCACGCCCCCCACATGATGGAAATATTCCCTTTTGTTCCAGAAGTTGTGTCCTTAAGGGGTTAAGTGATTATTATTCATTTGTGAAACTAACAATATTCTTGGCTGAACTAAAAACTTGTGGAAACTAAATATTGGATCCAAAATGGGTGCGGGTGTCATTGTAGAGTAATAGTCAAGTCAATGTCTGTAAAAACCAATGAGCAAAAAAAAAAAAAAAAAAAAAAGGGGAAGTACCTGCGCTCTTCCCAAATCCATATGCATATTTAAACAAATGGAGATTATTTAGTTACTCCAGTTATTTAATTACTCCAATGAGAGGGAATACCCACCTGCCACGTCAAGGCAAACCTCTTATGTAGGTCCTACACTGACTATTTTCCCTGCTTCCTCTCAATGGCCATGAGAGGAAGCAGGGCAAATAGTCAGTGTAGGACCTACATAAGAGGTTTGCCTTGACGTGGCAGGTGGGTATTCCCTCCCATTGGAGTAACTAAATAACCTCCATTAGTTTAAACATGCATAAGAATTTGGGAAGAGCGCAGGGAACACTTTTTTTTTTGGGGGGGGAATTTGAAGTCAATGTCAATTGGGGCTGATGTGTACTATGGTCATTGCTGGACCCCCAAGAGTAGTGGGAGTTTGAGCGCAGGACTTTTTTTTTTTTTGTATTTGAAGTCAATGTCTGTGTTTGTCCTAGCGAGTGTTCATGACACAGTATGCCTGCAGAAAGAGTACCAGACTAATTGTTGACTTCGATCAGTTTAGGATGCAAGGTTATTAAACTTACTCCCCAGATACAGATCCTTTACCTTTACACTAAATCCCTCCCTCCAAAAAAAAATACTAAAACTATAGTCCACTTGCCAGGTTTTTGAACTATTATGTACAATACTATGTATTATTCTGAAATGCCAGTTATAAAAATGTTACTCGCATCAGATTGAAGGTGCCGGACCATTATCGGGTGCCTGCTGACTGAGACAAGAAGACATTCTGTAGAACTTACAAATTACAGTGTCCAGTAACAAAGTAATGTCCTTACCTTAAATTATTATAACAAAAGCCTATAACTGTGTTTCAGTGACCATTTACCTTTTGGTGAGCGGAATCTTGCTCCAGTTATTAAATGACCCAGCTAAATAAATTTCCTTCCCTCCACCAGTCCAGCGAAAAACTGTAGGACGTGCCTGAGAGGGTGTCTTGTCATTTACTTCTAAGTCTTGTTGCCAGGCTAGAAACTCTTCCTTCTCTAGGGGAGCCTGAGAAAGAAAAAAAAATAAATAAATCTGCATTAACAAACTAATAAATTAGTTGCAAACGCAAATATAAAATTTTCTGTAGTCTACAGATATAGATCACCTATTTTGCCTTCCTTATATACCATTATACAAGGAGAGTTCGCTTGCTCGGTCAGTTAATTCTTCAGCACAAAGGTGTATACTGAAGAAAGGATTGACTAGTGGGGAAGGGACCTAATTTTAAATATTTTTTATTTCATTTATTTTTTTAAGCTCGATCTATATACTCTGCTAGCACAATGTATAGATAATATTTAATGTCATGGTACCGATAGTACATGTGCACTTTACATTGTAAATTTCTCAATTTCCTCACTTGCAGGGAATGTTTAAAAGAACACTACAGTCACCAAAACAATTTTAGCTTAATAAAGCAGTTTCAGTGTACAGTACATGCCTCTGCAGTCTTACTGCTCAATTTTCTGCCACTTAGGAGTTAAATCAATTTGTTTATGCAAACCTATTCACACCTGCCTGCATGTGACTTGCACAGACTTCCAAAACCAGGGCTCGACAAATCCAGGCTCCAGGTCGCTGTGGTGATTAGGAATTTTGTCCTGGCGTCTGGTGTTAGTCAGCACTGGCCACCTGTGCGGAATGGAAGCAGGTAGCAAGGGACCTGTAATCTTCCTGCTCTTTTTGCTCTGCTCTCTTATGTGCCCTACGGTGACGCTACTAACTGGGATAGGACGTCTCTCAGGCCCCAGCATCACTAAACAGTATGTGAGAGAGCAGAGCAAAATAATTCTAAACAAACTTAAAGGGACACTATAGTCACAAAAGAACCAATACAGCTTAAAGTGGCACTGTCATTCCCTCCTGAAAAATTAGTATTTCATAAAGATAAAATCTTTATGAATACTCATTAGGACTGTGTTGGAATTTCACTGAAATTCCAACCCAGTCAAGAGATATACAGAGACAAAGTAGTGATGTCACTCTCGGGGAGAATTTGCAAAGTCCCCAAAAGGTTAATCAGGTAGATCTATAGGGAACATTCAGCGCGTCAGAGATGCATGGCTTCAATGCAGCCTTATGAAGAGATGTTGGTTGGCGCACTCACTGCATTTTGCCACACATACGCAATAGCCTTTCAATGTTTCCTAGGGGAAGTCATTGGATTGGCTGAGATAATCAAGAATGAGGATCTCAGCCATAGAGCCCAAGAAAGCCACAGCGAGACTGGTGCCATGTGGGAGAAAACAAGTAAAAATCACCTTTTCAAAGCAAGGCGCAGGGGACAGGGAGCTAAATAGTATGTTTAAAACTATATAGTGTCAGGAATACAGGCGTTTGTATTCCTGACACTATAGTGTTCCTTTAAGGAGCACCTATAATTGTAATCATTGCACATCTCTTGAGCAACAAAAGCCTTACTTCCTATACAAGCTCAAGTTTTTTTCCACAATGAACAGTTTCGGTACCATGATACCTTTCGTCTAGCATGAGGCATAGAAATAACCCAGAATGCTGAGCAACTAGAATTTTCTTAAAAGGAACACAAGCAACTGCCTCTCTTGGCAAACTTATTACCTCATTTGGATATCACTACCACCTGTATGCTGATGACACCCAGATATATCTCTACTCCCCAGACCTCTCCCCTGTCGTCCTGCAACATGTCACTGCTTGCCTTTCTTCCATCTCTAATTGGATGTCCTCCCGCTTTCTGAAACTCCATCTCTCTAAAAACGGAGCTCCATATCTTTCCTCCTCCTAATACTGATCCTCCTCTTTCGCTCTCCCTTCAAGTTAGTAGTACCCACATCAGTCCATCTTTGCAAGCGCGCTGTCCTGGCGTCATACTTGATTCTGGCCTCACATCCAGTATGTTGCCAAATCCTGTAGATTCCATCTTAAAAACATAGCCTGCATCCGCCCCTTTCTTACGCAAGATGTTCCCAAGGAGCTTGTCCATGCTCTAGTAATTTCCCGCATGGATTATTGTAACCCTCTTCTAATTGGTCTTCCCAAAAGCTGTATTGCCATGCTACAGTCTGTAATGAATGCTGCCGCCAGACTGATTTTCCTCTCTAGTCGGGCCTCTCACACGTCACCCCTCTGTCAGTCCTTACATTAGCTTCCTGTATCCTATAGGAGTCAATTCAAAGTGCTCATATCTATAAAGCATTGAACAATTCTAGCCCCTCCAATATGCCCCTTCTTTGTCTCTCCACTCTGCCTGTGACCTTCTACTGTCCGCTGCTCGCACCTTCGGCAATCAGACTCTCTCCTAGTCTTCACTAGTTTAAGAGGTGCCTTAAAATCCATCTCTTTAGAAAAGCTTATGGCCTCCCAGAGTAACCTCTACCTCACATACCTGTCTCTTGCTCTCTCTGAAAGGGCAGCACTTTACTCTCACTTCCAGCTCTGCTTCACTCCCACCTTATTTGATTGCCATTTCCTGTCCTAATGTGTTTTATAAATGTGTTTTATACCCCATCTCCTATAGACTAAGCACGTTTGAGCAGGGTCCTCTTCAACCTATCATTCCTGTATGTTTTCTTGTAATTGTCCTATTTATAGTTAAATCCCCCCCTCTCATAATATTGTAAAGCGCTACAGAATCCGTTGGCGCTACATAAAAGGCAATAATAATAATGTACGCCTGACCCTATATTGTTTAATCCACTAGTTAGGTGGCTTGACCCCCTTAGAAAATGTTAAAACTCACCTTATTTCCAGTGCCGCTGAGCCAACAATGGTCCTGCCCTGCTCTGCCTCCTTGGTGACACCATCAAAAGAAATCGGCAAGGAGGCAGGACCATTTTGGCCAATCAGCACCTCCTCATAGAGATGCATTGAATGCAGAGCGTGGAAACTCTGAACAGCAGTGCTGCCAGCCCTAGGAAGCACCTCTAGTAGCCATCTGAGGGGTGGCCACATGGAGGCATCCCTAGGGGGCAATGTAAACACTGCTTTTTCCTCTGAAAAGGAAGTGTTTGCATGAAAATGCCTGGAGGCAATAAGTAATACTCACCAGAACAACTACATTAAGCTGTAGTTGTTCTGGTGACTATAGTGTCCCTTTAATGATGGATCATTCAAAAACTAATGCACCTAACAACTTGGTCTCAATGAAGTGAATATAGTGTCTGGATTCATAAAGGTTCATCCCTCCATTCAATATTAAAACCATTTTAATATTGTAACATGGAACAGTGGGCTCTCAGTAGCCCACAGACCAGCTCTCGTTGGAGTTATAAAAAAATTTCTTATACAGCTTTGTAAATCCAAAGCTAGTGACAACATCTGATGCTCTAAGCCCATCAGTGGCTTCTGCAAGGCTCTTTCATTGAAGCGTAGAACATTGCTGGAAGGTGTGGGAAGGAGCAGTCAGACACCGTAACTACAGGGATTAAAATTGCGCATAAATGGTTTAAATCCTTAAATTAAGAAGGCACCCAGGACCTTCTGGCATCCCAACAACTTCTTTAAGAGTAAGTTATTTTGGAACCTAGACTGCTCCTTTAAGAGACCTAAGTATTCAGTAGCGAGATGGAAAAATGTAGATGTGGAAAAATACTACAACTCAGCTAGTCACAGCTTGGAGATTTTAGCATCAGTTTTGAATTTCAGATTGTAATTCTCAAGGCTGATTACAAGACTGCAGACCAGTGCCTAATAGACAGCCTGTCCTGAATCTTTTTTCACCCCTTGAATTTATTGTCTAGCAAGGTCACTGAAAACCATGTCTTAGAGAACATGCAGACATAAAGACACATAGAATAAAGTGAAATATTAAAGTCAGAGTAGGATGTTATTTCTCTACAAATGGCATTTGAATAAGTTGTGGTTTTGGGAACATACCAGGTCATTTGGACTCGGATGCATTCAAAGTTAAATTAGGTAAAATTCTGAGTTTAGTGAATTAAGGATTGTTGGACATATCATATGCTACTCTTACTACATCATATGATTTATAATTTAAACTTGTTAAATTATATTAAAAACAATAAAAAAATTTTTTTTAAAAGTAACCCGAATTCCGTCCTCTGGCTTTTAGTACAAAATAGCTCAGATAATATGTATGCTGCTGCCTATGTATGGAGATCCCACCATACCAGTAAGGGCAAGAGGTCACAAATTGAACTTTACTCCCTGAGTTGGTAATGTCACAAACACTGATACATGACAAGCGGCACACCTCATTGCAGGGCTTGGCTTCCCTTGCCCCCCCCCCACCCACTTACAGGGCTCGTCTTCCCTTGCCCCCCCCTCCCCACTTGCAGTGTTAGGCTTACCTTGCCCCCCACTTGCAGGTTGGGCTTGCCCCCACTTGCGGGGTTGAAACACCTTGCCCCCACTTGCAGAGGTTGAGCACCTTGCCCCCCACTTGCAGGGGTTGAGCACCTTGCCCCACTTGCAGGTTAGGCTTACCTTGCCCCACGCGGGGTTAGGCTTGCCTTGCCCTTGCGGGGTTAGGCTTACCTTGCCCCCTCCCCTTGCGGAGTTGGAGAAACACCTTGCCCTGCAGGTTGGAAACACCTTGCCCACTTGCAGGGGTTGGGCTTACCTTGCCCCACGCAGGGGTTAGGCACCTTGCCCCCCCCTCCCTTGCAGGGGTTGGGCTTGCTTGCCCCCCTCCCCTTGCGGGGTTGGAAGCACCTTGCCCCCCCACTTGCAGGGGTTGGGCTTGCCTTGCCCCCTTGCAGGGGTTGGAGAGCACACCTTGCCCCTCCCCACTTGGGGTTGGGCTTGCCCCACTTGCAGGGGTTAGGCTTGCCTTGCCCCCCGCACTTGTGGGGTTGGGCTTGCTGCCCCCCCCACTTGTGGGGTTGGGCTTGCCTTGCCCCCACTTGTAGGGGGTTAGGCTTACCTTCCCCCCACTTGCAGGGTTAGGCTTACCTTCCCCCCACTTGCAGGGTTAGGCTTACCTTCCCCCCACTTGCAGGGCTCGGTTTACCTTACTCGCCTGAGCCGGGAACATTACAGCATCCTCTGGACTGTCTATTAGGATTTTAGTCCGGTCATCTCCTTTCCCCGATCCCCCTGTGCTGTCCCTGCGTCCTTTGTTGGGGCCGGTCCGCTCGCTGCTTGTATTCCCCATGGTTTTGATCTCGAAGAAGCCCCTACACTACAACTCCAGGGTCACTTTTGTTTATACGCCTGCCGACTGTCCTTCCGGTGCTTACTTCCGGCCACTGGAACGCAAAAGCGTTCCAAGCCTCTATACAACTGATAGTAGATACCTGTTACTGCTTTTACTAGAGGGATAGGAAGGAAGCTAAACATTCTTTCTGGGTAGGGTTAGAATTTCGACATTCTAAATCAGTTTTAATTTTGTTCCGTACTTCGAAAACAGGGATATTCATTAAAGTTTTACCTGATGACAATCAGAATTAATCTCGACTTTTAGGCTAAAATGAAACCTGGAAAAAACTATTTCGGCTTTTAGGCTAAAACAGCTTAAATGAAACATGAAAAAATAATGTCAATATTTAGGCTACAATAGCTAACATGAAACCAGCTTGCAGGCTGCCTGGTCTTGGGGACATGCCAAAGAAAGAGCTAGGCCTGAGAGGCACAAGTGCCACTGGTAAAGGCAAAGTTGAAGGTAGCGCGGGCATTTGGGGGGATATCTGCCTTGAAAAAGGAGGCAGCGCAGGCAGAGGAGACAATATCTGCCTGGGAAGAAGTGGCAGACTCACATCCCCATTGCTGTTTTGTCATAGAACTAAAACCAATTAGAAATGGCAAAGAAAACGGACACTCCTGATTTAAGACCCATATTCTGATGGGCGTGCCAAGTTTACCCCCTCGACTGCTGGAGGAGCAACTCCACCTCCAGTAGCGTCATTGGGGTGTTATTAGCCAACGTGAAACTAAAGTTCCAGACTGTTTAATGTCAATTCTGTGCAGATTCTTCACAGGGTTTGAAGGAAAACATCATCAACTAAAGTAAGTTACATAAAATAGATATAGCTTTACCCCAACATTGTGTAAACATTTGGCCACAACGGAAGGAATCAGTGTCTGACAATGTTGCACTTCAACTGTCTTGTTGAGACATATGGCATTGCCAGAAATGAATTCAATTGCATTCCAGACTTGACATGAGCCTCAGTATACTCTTGCTGAGTGTTCATGGCATGTAACTGTTTCCTACTATTTTCCTTTACTGTACATGGCAGAATGTGAATAGGAGTCTTAGACATGTTCTTCATAAAGGGCCCAGTGCTGCTACGTAGCAGTGATTAAAGGGAAAACCCTAGTGCCAGTAAAACAAAGTTTCACATAGGAAAGCATCGTATAATGCTTTACTATGGGGTTTGGGTGACGCTGGAGGATCTCATGCATAGTGTGAGGACATCCAGCATCTGTTAGTTGACCAAAAGTCGCCTAACTACCCGGAAGTCTCTCTAGTGGCTGTCTGGTAGACAGCCACTATAGGTGGAGTTAACCCTCATCTTATTAAAACTGCAATAATTACCTTTGCAGGGTTAAGGGACTTGGCAAACTACACCCAGACCACTTCAATGAGCTGAAGTGGTCTGATTGTCTCTAGGGTCCCTTTAACATTACCAGTTCCAGACAGTTGTAAGGTACACTCATTGAAACTGGAGTACACAGAGTACTGCCTGACAATACATGGTTGGATTGAGATCTAAGGAACGTGAATTTATGCCAGTGTGATAATCAGATTAGTGACAGGTTAAGATCTCTTGGGTATTGATTGCAGTGATGTTTACTATTTCTCTTTTCTAAATGCTTGTAAATGCAATCAGTTGCACTAAGAATATTTGAAACAATGCCATATATGACAAACATGATCTTGAAAGGTGTGGAATTTATGTGCCCTTGGGTACTTATCTTGCAGGCAGGGAGGTTAATTAGAGCCATGGAGTAACTGCATTTAGATATATTTGAAACAATGTTCTCAGCAGACAGTAAGAAGACATGAATTGGAACCAACTAATGCCTCTGCCGTTCTTGGACCAATTCTAACAGAAGGCAAGGTTCCCTAGTGCAATCCTGGTACAATAGGGCCAGGGACATCCAATTATAAATAATGTTTCATGCAGCCTTGCAGTTCAGTAGTTGGTATTTAGCATGTGTCCACTGTTAGCTCATTATTTTCTCTCTGCAACAATATTGAATATAATCTCATTCTTTTTTTCAGTATTGAAGAGAGATTATCCTCGAGGGTCTGTATCATTGGAAGGGGCAGCTAGGTCTGTGAGTGAACAAACAGAGAAATCAAGCAGACATTTAGATGCTGAATCGAGTCCCAGCAGATTCTTACATCCTGTTTGAAGTCTCTGCTTTCCTTAAATATTGTCTGTTGCAAACACATTGGAGCAAACAGAAGAGACATTAAACGTTACAGCTCATAAAACACATACAATGACATTTGTCCCTGGTGGCAGTTGAAGAAAAAAAATCTGTTGTTTGTTTGAAATATGCTAGCAGATTGTAAAATTATTCAAATCACATTAACATGGTAACCAAACCACCACTGATAATGTTCTCCTAAACCAAATATCTCAGCAGTTTAGCAATTGTACAATCACAGGAACACTATTTAGTACACTTACTAGATGGCCATTCATAAATGTTGCGGAGCGGTAATGATAAAACCAATGTCTCCACTGGTGTGCTGTAAAGCATGAAAGGAAGCGTTGTTCAGCAGAATAATCCCAATCCCCCAGTAACTGTCCGACACACAGTTCTGGGCGTCAACTGTTTAATAGGAGCCACACACGGCCTTATATGCAACTTCCCATGCAAGGGGTTTCCTAATACATATTCCAGGGGCATTCCCAACTGGACGTAAGAGGAGACTACAGTAAAACATACACATAATTACATCAGGTGCTCTGGCCAGGTGTTGCTGTAGATAGCAATATCGCCCAGGTATGCACATACATAATCCTGGAACCCGTCCAATAGCCGATCTATCATCCGCTGGAAAGTTGGCGGGATGTTTTTCATTCCGAATGGCATCACCCGAAACTAGTACAGACCAAACGGGGTGACAAACGCCAACTTCGGTATGGCATCCTCTGCTAGCGGAATTTGCCAGTACCACTTGCAGAGATCTATTGTAGTGAAGTACTGGCCCCTGGCCATCTTATCTAAGAATTCGTCTATCCTGGGTATAGGGTAGGCGTCAGACACAGATTTGTCATTCAGAAAATTCAGTGTCTGCATGCACAGAGTGGGGACACTGAATGGTAGTGCTGCACATTAGGCAGGACTGCTTAAGGAAGCACCTATAGAAACCATCTAAAGAGTGGCCAGTGAAGTTATCACTAGGCTGTAGTGTTTACAGCAAAAAGCCTGAAGGTAATGATTCTACTCACCAGAACAAATGCAATAAGCTTTAGTTGTTCTAGTGACTATAGTGTCCCTTTAACATTGATTACATACTTTTAAAAGTTTTTCTTGCTTTTTTTTGGTTTGTATATTTGTTTAAAAGTGTTTGCTTACTTGTCTAAAAATAATTGTCAAGTGATACATGTCCCTTTAACTTGCTCTATTACCCCTTTTGTTGTGTACTCCCTTGAATGAAGACATCTGCTGCCAAGGCATTAGCCTGTGAACCATGCATGAAGCCTAGATCCCTTCTCTCTGGCCGTTGCACAAGCAGCTCCTATATATTAATTTGTCCTTCTCCACATTCTTTGAAGGAACACTGTCATCACCCAGACCACTTCATGTCAATTGATTTAAGTTTGAATGCACTCGTGTTGTGTTTGATTGCGCCACTCATGCACATTAGGTCCCTAATGCTCATCTATGAAAAAAACACTGGATTGGACACCGGTGGAGTAGGTCATGCCCAGGAAGCAGAGAGGTAAGCATCAAGGGAGTCTCAGCACTGAAAAAGGTTTAATCTAATTGTGACCGCATCAGTGGGGGGGCTGAAAAAGAGTAGGGGCAAGGACATTATAGCATTAGGAATACAGATTTGTAATCATAAAGCTATAGGGTTCCTTTGTGATCAAAATCACTTGTTATTTGTCCCCTTTCTTTAAATAAACACTTCTCACTTGTAGTTCTAATGTTTCTGGATTCAGGCTTATGTGGCATTACATCCTCTCTCATCTCCAATGATTATTCAATTAAATTTGGACCTTTTATGATCTGGATCGAAATGCTCTGATGCAGCAGTTCCAAAAATGTGTACCAGGGCGCCATGGCTGGCAAACAGGGGTGCCGGAAAATGTTTCCTCGGTGCTATGCACCAGGGCCAGTACAGTCAGGGTACCCATTGGGTGGCCCATTCACTTAGGGCCACCCAATCGGTATATACCTCTTTTGTTGCTCAACAGGGGCCTGGTCAGGTGCAGCGACCCTTTAAGACCCTGACCTGGTCCCTGTGGTATCATCAGGCTGGGAGGAAGTGACAGTCTGTCATTTCCTCCCAGCTTCTTACTGAGTACCAAGCCGGTGGTTGGATGCAGCCGTGGATCAGGCAGCATGGAGGCAGAGGTGAGGCATGCTTACTCCCATCAGCATCAGCCAAGACCCCAAGCAAGCAACCCTCCTCGACATAAGGTAAGCTAATTGTAGTATATCAGATTGTGTGTGTGTGTCTCTTTGTCATCTGTGTGTGTGTATCTGTGTGTCAGAGTGTGCATCGATGTGTGTCGGTGTATGTATCTGTGTGTCATGGAGTGTGCATGTATCAGTGTTTGTGTGTGTCAGCATGCGTGTAAATGCATGTCAGTGTGTGCGTTTGTGTGTGTATATGTTGGTATATGCATATGTCAAGGTGTGTGCATGCATCAGTGTGTGTTTATGTGTCGTTGTGTATTTATATGTATGTATGTGTCGGTGTTTATATTAATTTGTGTGTATGTGTCACTGTATTTATATGTATCTCTGTGTTAATGTGTATGTATATCTATGTATATATGTATGTGGTAGTGGATGTGTGTATGTGCATACATACAAGCAATCAAACACCAGCACAACATGCAAACACACTCCTGCAATCTAACACAAATATTACATACAAACACAGCCCTGCATTCAAACTCCTAAATTATATACAAACACATTCCTTCAATCAAACATTAATACTACACACAAATGTACATGCACATTTAAAAGTGAAGATTACATACAAACACACCCCTGTATTAACACTAAACTTATATGTAAGCACCCCTTTAATTAAACGATATACATTATACCAGTGCTCCTCAACCCTCCCCTCAAGGCACACCAAACAGCCCAGGATTTGGGGATTACCTGGGTGTGTCTAAAATGATTTAAAAAAAACAAAAACAACTAAAAACACCTTAGACTCTAAGGTGTTTTTTTTTTTCTTTTTCTTAACACCATAGACAGGTAATACCTAAATCCTGGACTGTTTGGTGTGCCTTGAGGGGAGGGTTGGGGAGCACTGCATTATACTATAGTGCCAGTATATGCCACAGCACTGTACAGATATGCAACCTAAAACTTTGTTTTGACTTGGGGTGCTTTGGAAAAATATTGAAAAATTAAGTGGACCTTGAAGCTAAAATATTTGTGAACCACTGCTCTGATGTGTTTAATGTTAGGGGTCCTCCCGAACAGTTCGGCATTCAAATGGAGTTTTATTTGTAGCTTTTGTAGGTAGTCTGCTTAGTATACAAGTAACTGTCATAAATGCATCAGTCTATATTTATTCAAATTCAGTGAATCTGTCAGCAGGCACCTGGCCATCTGCATTAAAGAGCGATTTTTCTTTCAGCTATATGTTCTGTTCTGTTTTGGAGTGTTTGGTACTGTATGCAAGTGTTCTATATATCTAGTAACATGGTGTTACTGGTATTCATCAGCATTGTCTGTTAGAAATACAGAGGCTTTATTGAGTTTCCTGACTCTGTTTGGGAATATAATAACAATTACAATTATTTTATATAGCAACCAACATACTCTTCAGTGCTGTGTAGGAAGAGAGGGCCCTATACCTTTCCCTATTAGACAATATTCACACGTTTTGTCAAGGTGTTATATATACATAGTTACATAGCTTGAAAGAGACTTGCGTCCATCAATTTCAGCCTTCCTCACAAATGTTGTTGCTGTTGATCCAAAAGAAGGCAAAAAACCTGGTCTGAAGCGCTTCCAATTTTGCCACAAACTAGGAAAAAATTCCTTCTTGACCCCCAAATAGCAGTCAGATGTCTCCTTGGATCAAGCAGCTATTACCCCACTAATTAGAAATTATATCCCTGTATGTTATGTTTTTGTAAGTATTTATCCAATTTCAGTTTAAACATTTGTATGGACTCTGACAAAACCACCTCTTCAGGCAGAGAATTCCATATCCTTATTGTTCTTACTGTAAAAAAAAACTTTTCTTTGCCTTAGATGAAAATTCCTTTCTTCCAGCCTAAATGTGTGACCTCGTGTCCTATGTATAGCCCTGTTTATGAATAGATTTCCAGATAAAGGTTTGTACTGGCCCCGAATATATTTGTATAAAGTTATCATATCCCTCTCAGGCGCCGTTTTTCCAAACTACAGGGAGTGCAGAATTATTAGGCAAATGAGTATTTTGACCACATCATCCTCTTTATGCATGTTGTCTTACTCCAAGCTGTATAGGCTCGAAAGCCTACTACCAATTAAGCATATTAGGTGATGTGCATCTCTGTAATGAGAAGGGGTGTGGTCTAATGACATCAACACCCTATATCAGGTGTGCATAATTATTAGGCAACTTCCTTTCCTTTGGCAAAATGGGTCAAAAGAAGGACTTGACAGGCTCAGAAAAGTCAAAAATAGTGAGATATCTTGCAGAGGGATGCAGCACTCTTAAAATTGCAAAGCTTCTGAAGCGTGATCATCGAACAATCAAGCGTTTCATTCAAAATAGTCAACAGGGTCGCAAGAAGCGTGTGGAAAAACCAAGGCGCAAAATAACTGCCCATGAACTGAGAAAAGTCAAGCGTGCAGCTGCCACGATGCCACTTGCCACCAGTTTGGCCATATTTCAGAGCTGCAACATCACTGGAGTGCCCAAAAGCACAAGGTGTGCAATACTCAGAGACATGGCCAAGGTAAGAAAGGCTGAAAGACGACCACCACTGAACAAGACACACAAGCTGAAACGTCAAGACTGGGCCAAGAAATATCTCAAGACTGATTTTTCTAAGGTTTTATGGACTGATGAAATGAGAGTGAGTCTTGATGGGCCAGATGGATGGGCCCGTGGCTGGATTGGTAAAGGGCAGAGAGCTCCAGTCCGACTCAGACGCCAGCAAGGTGGAGGTGGAGTACTGGTTTGGGCTGGTATCATCAAAGATGAGCTTGTGGGGCCTTTTCGGGTTGAGGATGGAGTCAAGCTCAACTCCCAGTCCTACTGCCAGTTCCTGGAAGACACCTTCTTCAAGCAGTGGTACAGGAAGAAGTCTGCATCCTTCAAGAAAAACATGATTTTCATGCAGGACAATGCTCCATCACACGCGTCCAAGTACTCCACAGCGTGGCTGGCAAGAAAGGGTATAAAAGAAGAAAATCTAATGACATGGCCTCCTTGTTCACCTGATCTGAACCCCATTGAGAACCTGTGGTCCATCATCAAATGTGAGATTTACAAGGAGGGAAAACAGTACACCTCTCTGAACAGTGTCTGGGAGGCTGTGGTTGCTGCTGCACGCAATGTTGATGGTGAACAGATCAAAACACTGACAGAATCCATGGATGGCAGGCTTTTGAGTGTCCTTGCAAAGAAAGGTGGCTATATTGGTCACTGATTTGTTTTTGTTTTGTTTTTGAATGTCAGAAATGTATATTTGTGAATGTTGAGATGTTATATTGGTTTCACTGGTAATAATAAATAATTGAAATGGGTATATATTTGTTTTTTGTTAAGTTGCCTAATAATTATGCACAGTAATAGTCACCTGCACACACAGATATCCCCCTAACATAGCTATAACTAAAAACAAACTAAAAACTACTTCCAAAAATATTCAGCTTTGATATTAATGAGTTTTTGGGGTTCATTGAGAACATGGTTGTTGTTCAATAATAAAATTAATCCTCAAAAATACAACTTGCCTAATAATTCTGCACTCCCCGTAAACAGATTTAATTTTTTTTAACCTTTCTTCATAACTAAAATGCTCCATTCCTTTTATCAATTTTGTAGCTCGTCTCTGGACCCTCTCCAGTGCCATGATAGCCTTCTTTAGAACAGGCGCCCAAAATTGCACAGCATATTCAAGGTGTGGTCTTACCAGCGATTTATAAAGAGGCAAAATTATATTTTCATCCCGAGAATTTATGCCCCTATTTATACATGACAAAATCTTACTGGCCTTAGCAACTGCAGATTGACATTGCATATTGCTGCCTAATTTGTTGTCTATAACAATTCCCAAATCCTTCTCATGTGTGGTTATCCCTAATTCACTACCATTTAGTGTGTAAGTTGCTTGTGCATTCTTAACCCCGAAGTGCAAAACTTTGTATTTCTCTATGTTAAATTTCATCAGCCATTTTAGTGCCCAGTCCCCCAATCTATCCAAATCTCTCTGCAGCAAAGCAATATCCTGCTCACATTTTATTACTTTACAAAGTTTTGTGTCATCTGCAAACACTGACACATGGCTTTCAATGCCTATTTCAAGATCATTTATAAATATGTTAAATAGAAGTGGTCCCAAAACAGAACCCTGAGGAACACCACTTACCACTTTTGTCCAGCTTGAAAATTTACCATTAATTACAACTCACTGTACTCTATCCTTAAGCCAATGTTCTACCCAAGAACAAGAATATTCATCTAGACCAATTTCGTTTAGTTTGAAGACTAACCTATTGTGAGGAACCGTATCAAATGCCTTGGCAAAATCCAAGTAGATCACATCCACTGCAACACCCTGATCTATACTTCTTATACAATATACAATGCTTTGGTTTGTCAGCCTGCAGGTAGAGTATCTAGGCTCCCTTGGGCAGATGTGAACTGATTTCACCTAGGTTGGTTGAAGACCCAGAATAGCTTTCAATATCCTTACTAATCCTAAAGGCAAAGATGACTTTGGGCTTCCCGACCCATAAACATTATATTTGGACTTCCCAAGACCATACACTCTCCACTATATCTGATATCTCATAACTCCTTGTTTTATCCAGGGATTTACCAAGTGAAGTGGTCACATGTTGTTCCCTGCCAATATCTAACCTTGCAAGATATATGCAGTCAAAATGAGATCTTAGCCAAAATACCACTCAATCCGGCATGGATAAATATTGCAGTTTGCATCTTGTTCATTTAGTCAGTTCACTTAAAATTCATACTCAGTATGAGAAATGGTGCACGACCATAGAAGTACTAAAATATACCCTGGCTACTACATTCTGCGAAAGTGGTTCCCAAACCAGTCTTCATAGCCCATCAACAATCCAGGATTGACATATTTCCTTGTTTTATTCCAATGGAGATACTGACAAAACCTAAATCGTTGGTGGGTTTTGAGGACTGGTTTGGAAAACATTGCTCTACAATATAAGCAGAAACAAAAACACTCCCATTGTTCACTGGGACATGGTCAAAATACCTATTGTATGATATTATTGGTAAAGATTAGCGCAAACCTTTCAAGCTCATGCTGGTAAAATACCCCTCATACTTCACCACATTAAGTGATCAATACCTGATACCTGCTGGAGTTTTTTAACTTATCATGGGACCTGCACACTTGGTTAAAGTTTTCTATGTCCTATTGGGAAGATGTATTACAAGTAGTGCCTAAAAATCATAATATGATCATTCCCTTAAATTCTCTTCCGCCTCACAGATCACTCCTATCAAAATATAATCAGTCTTCAAGGATCCACCTCTTGCATGCTGGGAAAGTTCTTATCCCAATATACTGCCGTAGGCATGACCCACCTTCAATTAACGGTAGGTTCTTGAGAGTAGAGAAATTGAGGTTAATGGAATAAATTCATATCTGTCTCATATCACAAATATCTACAAACATAGGGCATTTTAAACATTGGTTATAAGCCAAATATACATTTTAGATTCTAAAAAGAAAATAAACGCTCACCTCTTGCAATAAATAGAAAAAAACAACAAAACAAACAGCCAGTCTACAAAAAGATGCCTTCAGGTTAAGCAGTCATTAATTTTGTACCATAATTACATTTCTCTGAATTATTATTTTGATTAGTTTGAATATTATTCACGCATACAATCAGCATATTTGAAAAAAGCAAGAATATAATAAAGCTTTAATTCATGTTAATATGCATGCAGTTCAGTGGCAGCTTGCCATCATTCTAAGGATACAGATCTGTAATTATGAAGTATGATAAAGTACACAAATATTAGCTTTATAACTAGATAAGCGTATTCTTGGAAAAATAAAGGAGCTTATCACAGGGTTTTATAACCTTCATATTTTTTATTTAACACTTTTACGGGTTGACTTTAAAGTAGTTCTGGTAATAATGTGTATTTATGTTCCTATTAAGACAAGCTATTGATTCCAAATTCTGTGATATTCATCCTGAAAGCTGCTACGTGCGTCGGCTTTTATTTCATAGAGGCCGATTTATTTAATGTGGGTGGACCACATTTTGACTATTTAGAGCCACACTGTTGACTAAGCTAAATGGGCACACATTGAATGTAGAACACAATGAACAATAACAAAAAAATCATGCACTTATTTAAACAAATGAAATGTTAACCATGTGAAGTATACAGTAATATT